AACCATGGCCTTGGTCAATTCAAGACATTCTCATCATCCCAAAAGGAAACCCTACACCATTAGCATCTACTCTCCAATTCTCTGGAATCCTCCTCAGTTATAACCAATCCTAGATCTATGTACTTTTTCCTATTCATTCATGAACATAAAACAAATGGAATCGTACAGTGTATGTATGGGTTTTTTTGTTTGTTTGTTTGGTTGGTTGGTTTTGGTTTTTGTGCCTGGCTTCTTTCACTGAGTTAAGATTTTCAAAGTTTATATTGTACCTTTTTTAATGGTGAGAAAAATATTTCAGTTTAAATAGACCACATTTTATTCTTCCCATGATGAACACTTGGGTTGTTTATGTTTCTGGCTGTTACAAATAATACTCCTGTGAACTCTTTTACATGTTTTTGTATGAACATGTCCTTTTAATTACCTTGGATATGTGCCCAGGAGTGCAGATACCAAGTAATATACTGCCAGACAGTTTCCCAGCATCTTAGGTTTTTTCCAGTAATGTATGCCCAGTTCCTCCATGTCCTCCCCTACTGGAACTCTGCTGTTGGTTAGAATCTGTACTCTCATTTATAGCTACCTTGATGTATTGAAAGCTATACTCTATGGCTTTGATTCCCCCCCACACACACACCTGCAGTCTCTCCAAAAGGTCTCTGGAACTCACTAAGTAGGTCAGACTGGCCTCAAACTCACAGAGATCCCACCTATCCATGCCTCCCAAAGTGCTGGAATTAAAGATGGGTATACATGTGTACACACATTTCTGTGCTCATGTTCATGGAAGACTGAGGCTGATGTCAATAAGGGAATCTTCTTTGAGCTGTCTTTACTTTTTTTATTTTTGAGGCAGTCATTCAGTCAAATCCATAGCCTGTCAATATGGCTGGTATTTTTTAGCCAGTTTGCACTGGGGGTCCCTTGTCTCTGCCTGTGAGTTGCCACAGCTGCCAGTCCTCTCAAGTGCTTTAAATGTCGTGTCATGTTTCCAGTGTCTTACTCTGCTGCTCAGGCTACCCTGGAACTGGCTTTATAACCCAGGCAAATCTTGACCTTACTGTAATCCTCTTGTCTCTACCTCCTGAGCACTGGGATTACAGATGTAAGCCACTATGCTCAGATGAAGAAGACTTTATTTTAATGTTAGAAAATAATTTTTTCTAATTTAGTCTGTCCCCTTAAAAAACCTACTTTATCCCATGTGTAGTTAAGTTTTGAATTGTGGGGAACATAAGGATCAGAACTGAAGTCTACTTGCATAGACATTGCACTTGTGTGCACATGCCCTGTTCCCACATAAATAAAAAGAAAAGGTTAAAAATCTACAGCTAGAATATTTCTCAGTATGTGGCAACGTAGTTCCCACTCCCCCACTTTGGGACAGGGTCTGGCTATATGGTTGGCTGTCCTGGAACTTGCTATATAGACCAGGCTGGCCTCAAACTCACAAGAGATCTGCCTGCCTCTTGACTGCTGGGATTAAATGCTTGTGTCACCACACACACACAAACACAAACACACACACACACACACGAACGCACGCGCACGTGCCTTGATGCTCTGGGATTGGAGTTAGACAGTTATAAGCATCCATTCGGGTGCCAGTATTCAAACCGCCTTTCCATCCTTTAGAAGAACAGTCAGTGCTATTGGCTGCCAAGCCATTTTAACTGTTTTTTAACTGTTAACTCCCAATTTTACCTTTTTCAAAAATTGTCTAAGCTATTGTAAAAATTGAATAAAATGTGCAGATTGCCTTTTAGAAACAACACTTAGTTTTGTGCCATATTCTTTTTTTTTTTTTTTTTTTGATTTGGTCATTCTTTTTTTTAAATTTTATTTTTAAATTTAAATTCAAATTAGAAACAAGGTTTCTTCACATGTCAGTCTCCCATCCCTCTCTCTTTCCCCAGGGAGGGTGAGTTCGTCCATGGGGGTGTCCATAGTTTGTGATTTCATCCAGGACAGGGCCTAGAACCTCCCCCAAGAGTTCAGGGTGAGAGTGCATCTCTCATTGTGGGATGGGCACCCAATGTCCATTTGTATGCCAGGAATAAATACTGGTCAACTACCAAAGGCCCCATAGATTGCCTAGGCCTCCTCACTGACACCCCCATTCAGGGGGTCTTGATCAGCCCCATGCTGGATTCCCAGGCATCAGCCTGGGATTCAAGAGTTAACCCTTGTTTCTGGGGGTTAAACCAGCCCAGTCTTAATCCCTTTGGTCATCAGTCCTTCTTCTGTTACTGGCTTTCTTGAGTTCAGCTCAGTGCTTAGCCGTGTGGGAGTCTGCCTCTGCTTCCATCAGCCACTGAATGAAGGTTCTGTTTCCCTGACTCTCTGGCCATGGGATTGTAGGCTGGCACTCCCCAGATCTATGTCTAAAATCCATATATGAGAGAGTACATGCCATGTTTCTCTTTTTGTGACTGGGTTACCTCGTTCAGGATGGTTTCTTCTAGTGCCATCCATTTGCCTGCAAATTTCAGGATTCCATTGTTTTTTTTTCTGCTGAATATTACTCCATTGTGTAAATGTACACCTGACTTCTCCATGGAAACTCTGAAAGCCAGAAGCTCCTGGATAGATATTCTACCAACACTAAGAGACCATGGATGCCAGCCCAGACTATACCCGGCAAAGCTCTCAATCACTATAAATGGAGAAAACAAGATATTCCATGACAAAACTAAATTCAAGCAATACGTAGCCACTAACCCAGCCCTACAGAAAGTTTTGGAAGGAAAAATCCAACCCAAGGAAGTTAACTACAACCAGAAAAACATAGGCATTAGAGAATCCCTCTCTACCAACAGCCAAAAGAACAAAGGGATGAAAGTCCACATATAACTCCACCAACAACAACCATTCCAAATCAAAGAAGAATGAGCAATCAATGGTCATTAATATCCCTCAACATTAATGGCCTTAACTCACCCATAAAACGACACAGGCTAGCAGAATAGATTCGAAGACAGAACCCATCCTTCTGCTGCATACAAGAAACACGCCTCACCCTCAAAGACAGACATTATCTCAGAGTTAAAGGTTGGGAAAAAAATTTCCAATCAAATGAACCCAAGAAACAAGCAGGGGTAGCAATCCTAATATCTAACAAATTAGACTTTAAAATAAAATCAATCAAAAGAGATGAAGGAGGTCATTACATACTCATCACAGGCGAAATCCACCAAGATGAAGTGTCTATCCTGAACATCTATGCCCCAAATACAAAGGCATCCACATTCGTAAAAGAAACATTACTAAAACTTAAACCACATATAAAGCCACAAACACTTATAGTGGGAGATTTCAACACACTACTCTCACCACTCTCACAGGAATACCAGACAGAAACTTAACAAAGAAGCAAAGGGTCTAATAGAAGTAATGACCCAACTGGGATTAACAGACATCTATAGAACATTTCATCCACATAAAAAAGAATATACCTTCTTCTCACCACCACATGGAACCTTCTCAAAAATCGACCACATACTTGGCAACATATCAAACCTCAGCAGTTTCAAAAAAATTGGAATAACTCCATGCATCTTATCAGACCACGTGATGCTTTAAAATTAGAATTCAACAACAACACAAATTTCAGGAACCCTACAAACTCATGGAAATTGAATAATGCACAACTGCACCATTCCTGGGTCAAAGAAGAAATAAAAAAGAAATTAAAGACTTCCTAGAATTCAGTGAGAATGAAGACACAACATACCCAAACCTATGGGACACTTTGAAAGCAGTGCTATGGGGGAAGTTCATAACACTAAGTACCCACATGAAGAAACTGGAGAATAGTTACACTAGAGAATTAACAGCATAGCTGAAAGCTCTAGAACACAAAGAAGCGAACTCCCCCAGGAGGAGTAGACGCCAGGAAATAATCAAATTGAGGGCTGAAATCAATAAAGTAGAAACTTGGAAAACAATACAAAGAATGCAACGAAGAGTTGGTTCTTTGAGAAAATCAACTAGACAAACCTTTGTCCAAACTTATCAAACAGCAGAGTGTGAACATGCAAATAAAAAAAAATCAGAAATGAAAAGGGGGACATAACAACGGACTCTGAGGAAATTCAGAGAATCATCAGGACATACTTTCCATTTTACCTGTAGTTAAGAGTTATTCCTACCAGGCAGAGTTGTTTCAGACAGATGAAAACAAATCAGCTCAGTTTTTGTAGGTTGTTGCAGATTGCAAAACATTTTGGTGGGGGGGAATGAGTGGTACACATGCCTTTAATCACAACACTCAAAAGGCAGAGGCAGGTGGATCGCTGAGTTGAGACCAGCCTGTTTTAGATTTGTGAGTTCCACGATAGCCAGGACTGCGCAGAGAAACTTGTCAAGAAAAATCCAAAAAGAAAAGAAAATGTTATAAGAGGAAATTTTAATGAAAGACAAAATATGTCTTTCTTAAGAAAGCATTAATAATATACTAGATGTTGTGTTTCCAGTAAGTTTATCATTCCTTTTTAAGGGCAGTGACCACAGTGAAGTCAAACTTCATGTGTGCTACAATGAAATGTAAACAATGCAGGGTGGCCCAGAGACACTCCCACCAAACAAAAGGCAGCTCTGATTCTTAGCTATGTGCACTTCACCAAGGCAGTATTTCATTAGGTTGAACCATATGAAGTTGCCAACATTTGCTCCTTGGAACCTATGTAAGCAGCAGCATCCTGTGGGTCAGCTGACACATGGCTTTCCACTGATGGTGCTGATGGTGGGATGGGTTGAGTTTGTGTTGCTGCAGTCCAGAGCAGGTGCCATTTTTGTTATTGTTGTCATTGGATGTTAATTGTATTCAGGTCAACTTGAATCAGCTTTACATCTGATTTGGTATTTTCTCAAAGTTTTTGGTTGATTTAAAGAAAACTCTCCCAGTTCTTTTGGCCATGTTGTCCATGAGCTTTTCTAATAATTAGAGTGAATAAAAATTCTATAAAAACTTAATGTTTTGTTACTTTGTTTTATTTTAGTCCCAGTTGCAAACATCAGTGGGAATTGTACCCACACAAGCAATTGCAACAGGCCCAACAGCAGACCCTGAAAAACGCAAACTGATACAGCAGCAGCTGGTTCTACTGCTCCATGCCCACAAATGTCAGAGACGAGAACAGGCGAATGGAGAGGTGCGGGCCTGCTCTCTCCCACACTGTCGAACCATGAAAAATGTTTTGAATCACATGACACATTGTCAGGCCGGGAAAGCCTGCCAAGGTAAGTGCCCTTTTCTGAACCTAATGGTTGTTGTTAGGGTGCAATTTCCCTTTGTTATTTTCAGTAGCTTTGGTGGTTGGAAGCCTGCATGGCAAAGATACTGGCCTCCTTTTGGTGTGACCCAGAATATGTTGTTCCTACAACCCCCACATCTGACAGTCAGCTGTCCCTGAAAAACTCACCTGCTGAGGAGGCAGGTGATTTGGTGTTCTGATGCTCTGAGCTGCTCCTTCATGAGGCTGTGCCCTGAGTTTGTGTTTTCTTCTTCCTTTCACAAAGGACTTCTCTGTCACTTCTTGAGTACTCCTTGTTAATGTCTATGTATGTTGTGGTTGTCTGGGGCAGTAAGACACATAGGCAGGCACACAACTTTCCCTGCACCCACAGCATCTGTCTTGTTTCATGGATTCAGACTATCAGTTGCCCAGTGCCTTGCTCCTCTGCCCTCTGTCTTGCTGAGAATGCTCTGATGACATCCAAGTCATCATCCATAGGGAGGGGGGAAGTCAGCCACATTCATCTTGTGCTCTCCTTTTTTTAATTTCTTTTTATTTATATATTACCATGCACCTCAGTTTCACTGAAGGAAGTATTTCCTATTAACAGCCGTGCTTTCTTGCAATCTTTCTTCTCTTGCTTCTTGTGTTCATAAACCTTGGGGGAAATAGCTCCCTGGTCTCCCTCTGTCCCGTTGTGTCACTGTGAATTGCTGGAATAACCTGATCATGATGGAAACACAGAACAGGGGAAGGTTAGACTTCATACATGAAGACTAGAAATATTCAGAGTCAGTTACTATCTCTGAGTACTTTACAAAGTCCCCTGGATTCCTTTCAGAATTTCTACAGACTTCTCCTTGGCTTCTCTGTGTTTCTTCAGTGGTAGTTCTTAGCTGCTTTCATCCTTAAATATAATTTAATGTTTTTATTTTTATTAGTGGTGTTGTAGAACTCTGTTCTGCCTTTCATTGTAGGTGCTCAGTATCTCAGAGGTTGGTAGCTTTTGTTCTGTTTTGTGAGCAGAACCTTAATCACCCATCATTCATAACATTGTTTCTATGGGAATTTTTTGGCTGGAATTACTGACAGTCAACTTACAAACTTTTGGACAGCCTGTTTGTAAGTTAAGGACTGCCTGTATTATGCTATGGTTACACTTGTTACCATTTTTTTTAATGGTATCTGGCATTATAATTTAGGTGTAATTGAAGTGTGACGATTTGGATAGAAAAATAACATCTCGTTGTTTTTCTGGTCATAGTTGCCCATTGTGCATCTTCACGACAAATCATCTCTCATTGGAAGAACTGCACACGACATGACTGTCCTGTTTGCCTCCCTTTGAAAAATGCCAGTGACAAGCGAAACCAACAAAGTAAGTGAGCACGGGGGCAGAGAAGCTTGGAGATGAGATTAGAAACTATTCTTAAGAGAATGCTAGAGTAGGTAGGTAGTGGGCAAAGGTCACCAGCACATCCTGCTGGGTGAAGTAGGTGCAGTCGAGCTCAGAGGGTAGATGGGCTTCCAGTGAACTTGATAGCCATGGCTATGCTAAGCTTTCATTTACCTCCACCAACCTGCACACATGCACTTGTAGGAGTGCAAAATACCAAGGTCACTTCCAATCAAATAGCTGTCAGGAAGATTTGATGTTTTCTGACAAATATTTAGTATGAAGATTTGAATATCAGGTCACCTACAATGACAGTGACATCATAGGGGCAATAGAGGGGCAACATTTTTGTGAAGATTCTTTTAGGCTGTATCAGTGTTAAAAGCCTGGTAAAGGTTTGCTTATGCAGTTCCCATACCAGCTTGTATAACAATTTATTGAGCTTTAGACTGGGAATCTCAGCCTCAGGGTTGACATATCTTGCTCATCCCCATCATTTTGTTGTCTTCTGAATCATCTGTGTAGTCCTTGAGGTGACCAGGTGTTTGCTGGTTGCTCTTTACTGCATGTGGCCACTGGATCCCTGCTCATTTTAGACATCAGAGCATTAGGAAGTTTTAAGACTTTTTGCTGTCATTTCAGAAGCTAAATACAAATTGTAGTCTTTGGGTATGTTCCCTGTTTGCATATCTAGGAAGTGCTCTTAGGTCCATGTCATCCTCTAGTTGGAGGCATGCCCTCCTCTAGTGATCTTTCAGGATGGCACAGTCTTTCTCATCTTTCACCAACTCTATTCCTCCCCGATGTTCTAAGTGTTCCTTACTTAGAGCATCTTCTTGAACATCCTCATAGGTTCCCCTTCTGCCTGGTGAACATGTGTTCCTTTCTTTCCAGCTGGCTGTAGATGGCAAGTCACTCTAATGTAAGAGTGCCGTGGAGTGGGGTGCCATTGCTGGCTGTTTGATCTCCTCTTAGGAATCCAACTTTGCTTCCTGTAAGCTGACTCACACTGCACAGTATGCTTCATTGAAAAAAAGGGGGGGGAGTTGGGGCTTATTATCTTCTTCCCCTACTGAGATACCACAATTAAGTTTGTTTGAATCAGTTAAATTGTTCTTTGGGGGGGCGGCACGTCTATGTGAGTGTGGACACTTGCCACAGCTTGTGATACAGGTCAGAGAACAACATTGGATGTTGGTCCTTACCTTTCAGTTTGTTTTGAGTCAAGGTCTCTGTTGTTTGTGTGTGCTATGCAGGCTAGGTGGGCTTGTGAGCTTCTAGGGAATTCTTCTTACTGCACTTCTGACATTAGGATTGCATGCATGCTGTACCATCCATGGCTTTACGTGGGCTCTGGGTATTTGAAATCAGGTCCTCACACTTGCATAGCATGTGCTTTAGCCCCTGAGCCTCCAATTTTTAATACACAGTTTTCTTGAACATCTCTTACATAAAATGAAGTTCTAGGACACTGGGTCTTAATCTATATATTTAGGATAATATGTAGTGAAATAGAGTCTGTTTTTCCTTCAGTTTATTGTAAACCCCTCTCCCCAATGGTAGTGGTGAAATTTATTGTAATTTAGTATGCTCTCCTCTGAGGGGGGGAAAAGACTCTTGATATGCCAGAAAATTCATTATTGAGTTTGTACTTCTATGATATTAATTCCATGAATAATGAACTAGTATTTTAATTTAGGGGTTGACTTGTATGGGATCTTTTAAGCTTAATATGTAAATACTGGTATGAAAATTGTAAACCTTTGTGAGTTTCTCTTTTAAGAAATACTTATGTGCTTTTAATTCAAGAGGGAGAGAAAAGAAAAGTGTGGGTTTTTTTCTTAACATCTTATAACTGTCTAAGTGTGAAAATTGATTCAGTGCATGCTTTCTCAAGTGGTAAACCACAATGTTTTTGCTAGTCATAGTGTGAGCTGTTGCCAGGGATTGGTGATAAAAAGTCACAAGGAGACTTGAGATAGTCTCTATACAAGGTTTTAGTATTTTCAATGTGGGGTGGGATAAAAGTACTTTGTGAAAAATTAAATGTTTATTATTGCGTGTTTGTGTCTGCGTGTGTTTGCTTATATGTGAGCCTTCAGAGACCAGAGGTCATCTGGAGGCTTCCTGTAATCAATCTACCTTGGTTTGTTTGTTTGTTTATTTGTTTGTTTGTTTTGAGATAGTCTCTCATGAACCTGGGTCTCATGGTTTTGGCTAGATTGACCCCTGGAATCTGTCTGTCTTTGCATCTTCAACACTGGGGTTCCAGGGGACATGGTACCACCACAGCTGGCATTTTTTTTTTAATGTGAGTGTTGGAGATATGGACTCAGTTCCTCATGATTGAGCAGCAAGCACTTTTCCTACTGAGCCATTTCTCTAGCCAAAATGCTTCATAAATTACATTTCAATTTTGAGTGTGGTCTGGCTCTATACTTGGAGATTTGAGAGTATAGAATTGTTTGTTTCATATCATCGGTGAGAATGTTTTAGCAATGTCCTTCCTTTAGAAAATTATGTTTATAGTGTATGGATCCTAATTTAGGAACTACACAAAAATGTGAACCCAATAGCTTTAGGTTGAGTTCTAGATACTGAAATATACACGTTAAAATTAGTGTGGTTGGTCATTCTAGTGCTCTGGAAGCTGAGACAGGAGGATTATGAATTCTGGAGCATCTTAGACTGTATTTATTGTTCAGACCATGTGTCCCTTCAGAAAATAAACAAACGTATCACCAGAGTTTATTTGTACTCATTTGATATTAACTCTGATTAATGAGCTTCGGTTTCATTCTTAACTTTTAGTTTAGGGGAGTAACTTTCCTGGTTTGTGTGTGTGTGTGTGTTTGTGTTTACTGCTCTGTCATATTTTTTAAAAGTGGTAATGGTCTCTCTTAAAGGACAAAGTTTATGCATGAAGTACTCTGTGTAGTCTTTATAGGGAGATTCAGATTATGCTTAGACTACTTCATAGAACCCATGGATCAACAAAATTACAGTGGGGGCAAGGGAGATAAAGATCACTGACTGCTCTTCCAGAAGATCCACATGGGAGTTTACAGCTGTCGGGAACTCATACAGGCATAAATGCAGGCAAAAACACTAATGCACATGAAATTTTTTTTAAAAAATTGCAATAGAGTAACATTTTAGATGACAGTTATTAGCCACCACAGCATGTAGCCTATCTGGGAATAAAGCTCACTGGATGTGGTTGTTTGAATAAGAATGGCCCCCATAGACTCATGTATTTGAATGCTTAGTCAGCAAAGATTAGCACTATTTGAACGGATTAGGAGGTGTACCTTTGTTGGGGTAGGTATGGCCTTATTGGAGGAAGTATGTGTCCCTAGAGTGGGCTTTGAGGTTTGGAGCAAGGCCCACTGTCTCTTCCTGCTCTCTGTGGATCTATATATGGAACTCTTAGCTACTTCATGTGTACTACCATACTCCCTGCCATGAGGATAATGGATGAAACATTTGAAACTGTAAGCAAACCTCCAATTAAATGCTTTCCTTTTTGGGAGTTACTATGGTCATGATATCTCTTTACAATAGAACAGTGACTTAAACACTGGGCTTAGAGATACCTGTGCCAGCAGCTCAGGCGGGCTATGCAAGTTTCTAAAGACCATAGGGCTGTGCTGAGGCTCATTCTGTGGAGTTAACCACAAGATATGCCAGTGCCCTTAGCTTGGTAGGCACACTTTCCATACTCTCTAACTGCTGTGGTTTATGTCTCTACTGACAGAATCTTGGAGAATTACCTAAGGCACTAACATGATGTTGCTTGAAATGAAACCCATATTGTTTGTTCTTTTGAGGCCTGTTTGATTTTCTTGTTTATATAAACTATAATAATGAGTTAGCTGCCTATCAGAATAGGTGTTCAGTTATTAGAGCTTTTCAATCATCAGTCCTGGCATCTGACCTCTAGTAGATTCTGTGTGGCGTGTGCTCAAGTCCCCATGTTGGAACCCACAAATCTCTTGTTACTCACAATTGACTATGCAGACCTGCTGCACAGATGCTTCCTTCCAGGTTGCTTGTTAAGTAAAAACTGTGGAAATCTGTGCCCCATCTAGGCTCCTTGAATTAGAGTCTATATTTTTAACAAATGTACTTGGTGTGTACATTAAAATCTGGGATTTGACTGCCTGGGATGCCTACAAGGGCCAAGTCTGTTTCAGAGCTGTAGGGAAGGATAGAGATATTTTCCAAGAAAGACCCTGGCTTCTCCATCTGAACCCACAGGTTTTTAGACCTGTGCTTCAGGACAGTCCCAGACTCAAACTGAACCATTGAACAACAGTCAGCAGTCCTCTAGCTTGTCGTTCTAGTGTCCTCATTACCTTGGCCCTTATTTCCTGGGGTGGCTCTTTTCTAGGCACATATTGGACTGCTTGAAACACTTTGTTGTTAAAAGTTAACCTCCAAATTCCCTTTCATACAGCACCTCCTGGTTCTGCCTGACACGCTCTCAGTTCCACTTGGGTGTCCTGTAGTTTCCAGATGCCTTGCCCTCCTGTGTCTCTTGGCTTTTTTTTTTTTTTCCCTCCTCTTTTTCTTTTTTTTCTTCGAGACAGGGTTTCTCTGTATTTTTTTGGAGACTGTCCTGGAACTCGCTCTGTAGACCTGGCTGGCCTCGAACTCAGAGAGATCCACCTGCCTCTGCCTCCTGAGTGCTAGGATTAAAGGTGCACGCCACGAACGCCTGGCTGTCTCTTGGCTTTTGAGGAAACCCACCCTTGAGAACTTGGGCTGTGAACAGGGAGAGACTAATGTGTGATACCTTCCACTTGGCAGAGATATGTACAGATCTGAATGAACCTGGCACTGGCTTTTCTGTAGTAATGTGAAAATGAGTAGAATAGCTGCCTAGCTTGCATTGTGATTTGTCTTCCACTACTCTGGTAGGGTTTGACATTTAATTTGTGTCCCTTTTATTGAATTTCCAAATTGAGCCCATATTTATTATTAGAACCTGAAGTTTGTTGGTAAATTGAATGTTTTAAGTTAGCAACACATACTTCACAGGGAAAGACTGCCTAATCCCTATCAAATATTGGTGGTTGAGTCTTACACTGAACCCATAATAAACTTCGCCTTTTGTTTCTTAATCTATGACTTCCTGCTTTAGCTACAATAAAAAGGAGTAGTGAAGCAGAGAAGGTATTGACATGCATTAGAAGAGCAAAGACATGCCAGATACCATGTCTCTTGCCTGTAATCTCAGCACTCAGGCAACTGAAGCAGGAGGGTTACCATGAACTCCAGCCAGAGCTCCTTAGAAAAACTCAAGTCATCATTGTCCCCGAACCAAACAAACAAACAAACCAAACACCAATAATCAAAAAAAAAAAAAACCACAAAGATGTGTCTGGGTTCAGGTACACAACCTGATAAGCTAGAATAGTTTAAGGACTCCTCAGGGTGTAATATGATGTCCAAGGGACTGGTGACATGTGTATCACAGCATTAAAGACCAAGTAGTTTTCAATAACATGTCCAGTTGATGTATGTAGAAGGCTCTTTGTCAGGGATACAAGTAGGTGAGTGTTGCTGCCTGTAATGTTCTTCATTCATGTTCATCCTCAAGGTGCTCAGAGCGGGGAGCAAGGGACAAATGACTGCACAAATTCCCCTGCCCTGCATGCTGTAGCACTTCACATGGCCTCATGTGGCAGGAGAAGAGTAAACTCTGCCACTCAGCCCTCTTAGTACATGGAGCCTGTGGGCAGGAGTAAGTGAAGAGTAGCCCGAGTCTTACAGAGTGCGTCCTAACTTTCAGTGATGAGTAGAAAAGGGTGAGATGAACAAGATTTTCTCTGATCCAGGTCTCAAGCTGTGGTTTGGTGTGTGTTGGGGGATTATTAGAGCTCTCTTGTTTTTCCCATCAGGTCTAAGCTCTTGGAGTACATAGACTATGTGCTAACCACTGTATCAGGAAACCTTCTAGGGTGTAGTGTGAATGCTGGAAGTATGAATGCCTAAAGATAAACAGACTCAGTGGGCCCTGTGGGGATTTAGAGAAGGATATGGAGCACTGGTTGCCACTTTGATATGACTCTGCTGTCAGGCCATACTACCAGATGTTAGTGCTGTTCATATAGTAGCACTGTTTGAATTGCCTGTTAAGTTGTTTTTCAGGGTCAAGTCTGTTGTTTGTAGTTTCTTGGTTCTGGATTGTTGGAACTGTCAGATTCCAAATGTGTCCGTGTTTTCTGCTAGGCATATTCAGTTTCAAAATGATTATATTTAGGAAACACATTTTCAACATAAACAGAAAATAGAGTGACCATATCAATAGCACCCATGAGAGGCTCTAGTGAATGAGACTGTTTACCCCATATGTGGCTCTAGGTTTAGGGATGGTATTTATTCTAGGGTAGGCAATTATCTAAATGCACAACTATTGCATCTTCACCTATACTGTTTCTTCAGATCCTGGATACTTCACTTACTGTCTGTTCTTTCTTATGTCTAAGGTGAGAGGAAAGTAAGCTGTTCTAGGCTAGGATTGATCACTTGAGTAACGCATGTGAGAAGACATGAGAGGAAAGAGGTGGGGAGGGTGAGGAAAGGAAAAAGAGAATGAGGATAATTAGCTTAAAGGAGAAGACTGTAAATTTTGTCATATGCGGAAACACCGGGTGATTATTTTCTTTTCTTTGTCATAACTGAAAAATTACCATGCTTGTTGAGGAAATATGATGGGTACATGACTTATAGTTTCAGGGACTATTAAATAATTAATATACTCATAAAGATATTATACTTGACTATTTCAGCTACACTCTTGTCAAGGTGTACCTTGGGAATTGTATTTTATAATGATGAGATGTTTGCTGTGTTTAATTTTATCTAATGAGTGTTAATGAATTTGAGTTCTGACTGTTCTTATTGGAAAAGTTAATAGTATGGAATGGGTACTTACTAATTTTTTTCTTTTTACACATGTCAGTTTATTTAAATTGTTCTAATAAGCATTTCAGTTGTATATTATACTCACATAGATATCAGTTGTAACAATATTACTAATTAAAAGAAAGGCTTTCTGAATGTTTCATATGTCAAATGTCAACTTTATAAGCATGTCTTGATGATTTTACTTCTTACATGATCTAACCTTTGTACAAGTTTAAAAGAAGGAACCTCTTAAAGATAAGAATAAATAGTGTGACAGAAAACCTATGCCATATAGAAAACTCACCAAATGGATGGATTGTGTGGGTGGGTTGATGGGTTAGACTTGGAATGACCCAAGAATTTAGCATTACAAGTTATATCATTTCATCGGAAGTCCTTTAGGATGAGTTCCTTATGTGGGCAGTGGTTTTTCCTTTTAATTACCTGTGGTGGGACAGCTGTTCTGCATACTTCTTGGGTCATGGTAGCTGATAGCTACGTGAGTCACATCTAGGTCCTGAATATCAGGGATACTGAGGTGGCACCTACATAAATTAAAGCTCAGTTGGAATCTTGAAGCCCTGTTCTATCTGTTAATTTTAGCCAGATCTGTCAGTACATCAAGTGTAGTACAGCCTAGCATGGTGCTCTCCTAGATGAGTGTTCCATGAGAAGGTCTTGTTAAAAAAGGCTTGCTACTAATGCTGTCATTATACAAGTTGGTGTAGAGAGATATGTCTTGTTTTGTAATCTAGAAGATCACATCATAGATTTATTGAATAAAAATTGGCCAACCAGTTTTCACCTTTGCTATTCCTCTCAGTTTACAGAGGTGAGCACCAAAAAATAGATGGGGGCAGCAGCTTGTAGGAGGCCCTTTCCCCTTTCCTTCACTCGAGAGGTAGCCATACAGAATGATGTGCTTTGCTTTGTCATACATTTGACACTCCTTCTAACTGACTCTTTAGGTGTCTTCGCTTTTACATAGAAGGTGGATTTACTTGAGATTTTTGTTCCTTAACTCTTGCTAGACAAAATAGATGAATTCAGCACTGCTTCTTTTCTTGCTAGCTTTAACGCTTTGCATACATTCCTAGTCTTTGAAAGACGTATTTGCCTCACGTTATTTACAGTTCATTTGTGGACCATCTCCCTTTTACTTACCTTCTTTGCTTGTCTGTCTGTCTGTCTGTTGTTCTAGCCATCCTGGGATCTCCAGCTAGTGGAATTCAAAACACAATTGGTTCTGTTGGTGCAGGACAACAGAATGCCACTTCTTTAAGTAACCCAAATCCTATAGACCCCAGTTCCATGCAGCGGGCCTATGCTGCTCTAGGACTCCCCTACATGAACCAGCCCCAGACACAGTTGCAGCCTCAGGTTCCTGGCCAGCAACCAGCGCAGCCTCCAGCCCACCAGCAGATGAGGACTCTCAATGCTCTAGGTAAGTAAAGGAGTGCTCAAGAACTAACTTTGTCCAGATCCAGTGGAAAGATTGTCGACAATGCTTGCTGGAACTCAAGGCTGTTTTCAGTGTGTTTTGACTTCAGATTCATTGCTTTGGATTAACGACCTTCCAGAGAAAACCTGAGGTGTATGTTTGCAGGGAAAATGTTACAAAATTGTAAAAAAGAACTACATTTTCAAGTGATGTGATGATTTGATCTGTGTGTACCACTTTGTCTTGACAGTTTATAAAGGTCATCTTTGTAGCTCAGGAGAATCAAACCTGGGCGAACTTAAGTGCACCACTTATTTAAGGACTGTGGCGGGTTCCCCTTCATGTCTTTTCGTTTGTGGTTCTCCCATCATTGTAAGAGACCGTGTAGAATCAGGCTGGTAGCTGTCATCTCCTCTTTCTTGCTGGGTAGATCAGTATTTCCTCTGGTCACCCTAGCCCATCATTTGCCAGCTTTACACATTTGTTTTATAATCACAATTTTTGTTATTTCCTGGTTTAGTTTTTTGAGTATTTTTTTCCTTCTGTTCTTTTAACCACAGGTACTCACACTGTGTATAATACTATCAATGAAGTACTAGTGTTACTAGTGAGTCATTTTTTTAAAAATGACCATTAAGGGATAGGGGTGTGGCTCAGTGGTAGAGCACTTGGTTTTTAGTATGCATGAAGCCCGGTTTGATATCCAGCACTACAGAGAGAGAGGGAGGGAGGGAGGGAGGGAGGGAGGGAGGGAGGGAGGGAGGGAGGGAGGGAGGGAGGGAGGGAGGGAGGGAGGGAGGGAGGGAGGGAGGGAGGGAGGGAGGGAGGGTGTTACCTTTTGGGAAAACACTTAAATGATTATCAACTAATAATGGCTGGGAGAATGGGTTGAAGCCTAATACCCAAATTCTATCTCCTCCCCTTCTGTTTTATGGTATAATATGGGAAATCCTATTAATCTTTCTCAGTTGAATCTTTTTCTTTAATATGAAGATTATAGGCAAACTGACCCTTTCCTAATTTTCCAATAAACTTAGATTTTTGTAAGTTTACTTTCTGACATGTAAGAACAACCCCCAATACACATGTATGTGCCAGCAAGGTCAGTGTAAGTTGTTGAGAATTTGATATTAATGAGACAGAAAAGTTGGAGACTGCAAATGAGCAGTTAGGACATTAGCCAACCACCAGACACATTTTATTTAGGCTGTAGACTAAAACTGGGAAAAAAATTTACAGTGGAATTTGTTGAAGTTAGTCACCACGAACAAAAAAATATAGCTTCCAGAGTCCTACTGTATCTTGGTATTCTTCTTAGGAGTTCTTTATGTAGTCTTGCTTATCCATTATGGGAACTTAGAAGAGTGTATAGTGTAGGGATTGATTTCATTTTTCTTTGTCTTTAAAGGAAACAACCCCATGAGTATTCCAGCAGGAGGAATAACAACAGATCAGCAGCCACCAAACTTGATTTCAGAATCAGCTCTTCCAACATCCTTGGGGGCCACCAAGTAAGACTAAAGATTCAAAAAGCTTATATCTGAAGAACAAGTGGGTATAAGAATGGGTGGGAATTATACAAAACTCAGCATGTGGCAGAGAAACCACTTACTGAGGAGGCAGGAATGAATATTATTTTTTCTTTTTTCATATTTTAAACGGGGAGGGAGGGGGAGAAAGAGATCCACAAGGGCCAGAAGCGGGTGTTGGATTCCATGGAACTAGAGTGACCAGCAGTTGTGAGCCATTGACGTGTGTATGTGGGTGCTGGAAACTGAATCTGATCCCTTGAAGAGAGGAGAAACAAGTGCTCCTATGAGTAGAACCATCTCTCTAACCTCTTTCTTTTTAAAATGATAACTGTACAACAACCAATTAAACTGTTTGACTTCTAGTTAATGTACATTACTTGTTTTTCTTAAACATTTTAAATCACATATTGTTGAAGAAGGTGGAGTGCATTTGATTGATTCACTTGAGTAGCTGGAAGAAGTGCTCTTATTTCTCTCTCTAGTCCACTGATGAATGATGGCTCAAACTCTGGTAACATTGGAAGTCTCAGCACGATACCTACTGCAGCACCTCCTTCCAGCACTGGTGTTCGAAAAGGCTGGCATGAACATGTGACTCAGGACCTGCGGAGCCATCTAGTGCATAAACTGTACGTAACCCTCATCAGTCAGTTTCACATTTTGTGGCTGAGGCATTGTTGAATCTTTCTGGGTGCATAGATGTTTGATTTTATTTTTCATTTACACGTTGAATCTCAATTTATAGCTCATACCTGCAAAGGGTCCATGCTTGTTTCAGAAAGCCATTCCCACTGTTAAGAGACTAGGAAGGCTGAGTTTCCCAGACTCTGGGCCCTATTATATGTTGGCATCAGAGCATAGAGATGTGACCTGAAGCCTACCTATCCTCTTTGCTTTCAAGCTTAGGTGTATTCAGTTATTGAGTTCCCTAAAACTTGGGGGAAATTTGGGTCTGATGAATATGTATGGTATGACCATATAGTTATTTTACATACAGAAAGCTAATATTTCAAGCTACCTCTCCTAAGTTGAAGTGAATCGACCATAGATTCTTCCTTATTTTGATCTGTTTACAATGAACAATTTCAAAATAGAGATTTAGAATCATACTTTTCATAAAATGATATAACACATATTTGTGATTGGTGTGTAGGTTAAAAGATAGTATTGTTTCCCATGTTCATGCACAAGGCAAAGAGAGTTCTCCTGTGACCACCTTGAAAGCAGATTGATATAGTATATTGTCCTTTCAGTGTCCAAGCCATCTTCCCAACTCCTGACCCTGCAGCTTTGAAGGATCGCCGAATGGAGAACCTGGTCGCCTATGCTAAGAAAGTAGAGGGTGACATGTATGAGTCTGCTAACAGCAGGGTAGGTTGCGAAGCAGTTGTTGAGCCTGTAGGTGGGAAATGATATTTGTCTAGTTAGTTACCTAGAATTAGGAGAATCTGTGTGGTCTATGAGACTTGAGACCTTGAGACCTTAACCAGACATGTCCCAGTAAGGATGAGATTCAGCCCTTTTGTGAAGCACAGATGTCATAGGAGGACAGAGAGTCACCTTTTTTCACAGTGGGTATTCTTTAGGATTCTTATATTATTGCCAGTGTCGGCGAATACTCAAGAAAAAGCTCATTTGTACAGAAAAAATTACAGTATTTAGCACCTTTAATTTGGGGTGTCTAGTAAAGTCACTAGTTGAATAAAGTGGAAATTTAAAGGTTATGCTGACAATACTGGGAATTTGGGGGGGGTGATTTTTGGTTTATGCACTTAAAATATGATTCGTAGTATAGTGCCTGCTTAGGCCCTGAGTTTGATCCCCAGCAGTAAAATGTGAGTGTGTGAATAAATGAATGAATGAAAAGAGTTCATTTGCTAGTTGGAACATAAAAATAAATGATTGATTCTTAGATTTTTCAGTTCCTTAACATTGGATATTATTGTTTTTTAGGATGAGTACTATCATTTATTAGCAGAAAAAATTTATAAAATACAAAAAGAACTAGAAGAAAAACGGAGGTCACGTTTACATAAGCAAGGCATCTTGGGTAACCAGCCAGCTTTGCCAGCTCCTGGGGCTCAGCCTCCTGTGATCCCACCAACTCAGTCTGTGAGACCTCCAAGTAAGGACTTTACCAGCTCTTAGCCTGCCTGCTTAGTTTTCCTTCTGTCTTTTTGGTATATGTCTAAGAATGTACAATAATGTTCTCCAAAGGTTTATGCTTTAAAAGCTTTCTGTATGGCAGTGGCCTGTGAGGACGTTGAGCCTCCCTCATGGGAAGGTTTCTTTTTGTTTTGTTCATTTTTAGTTGTTTGAGACAGGTTTGCTCTATAGAACCCTAACTGTCCTAGAACTCACTCTGTAGACCAGGCTGTCTTCAACTTAGAGATCCACCTACCTCTGCCTCTCTGAGTGCTGGTATTAAAGGTGCGTGCCACTACTGCCTGGAAGGTCTCTTAAAGGGTGTGCTGCCAAGTTCTTTTTTAAACTTAAGTATAATCCCCCCCTTTTCAATTAATTAATTTTTTTTCCTTATAGATGGGCCACTGCCTCTGCCAGTGAATCGCATGCAGGTTTCTCAAGGTATTTATTGTCAGCCATGTTTTAGTTTAACTTTCAATGGCAAACCCCCTCCCCATTTCCCCTTTTGTATTCTTTTTTTGCTCTTTCCATTCTTACTTTCTGATAAGAACATAGTCCACCAAATAGTGTGAGTCTGTTGTTTTTACAATTCAGAAATTAGAGGAGGGTTTTCCAACGAGGTCAAAAATAGGAATTTGGACCAGTAACCTCACCCCCCCTCAATAATGATGATAATAATAATAATAAACCCAGGGGAGACATTATTAGGAAATTATATAAAAGAACCATATATTTGGAAGGAAAAGACCTTTCTGAACATTCAGTAGCAGAGTCTGAAAGCCAGTTGGTGTCAATCACTTGGGGAATGAGAAGGTACAGTGCTGCTTCAGGCCCTTAGGGTGAATAGTTATCAGCCACAGGAGGCTGTGTGCATAGCTCCATGCCTGGCTGGAGTAGTGATAGCTGTCTAAACCATTAAAGGCTCAATTCAAAATTCTGTGGGGTTTTTTTTTTTGGAGTAGATAAGGACTTCAGAGCTGGGGAGCATTTGTATGCTTTTCAGCTCCTGGCATATTGAGACCTGAACATCAGGGTTTTGCTCCAGGTTTTGAAATGAAATGGGAGCATTATCTAAATGGTAAAGAAAGGCATTGCAGTTTGAGAGGGACTGGTAAGTGATTTGAAGTTGTAACAGTATTATTGCACACTGAAATAGACACTGAATAAACTTGCCAAGAACTTGTTTGGATGGATTGGATTTGAGGGATCGAGGAAGTCAAGTGGTTAAGAAATTTAGCGTGGGTACATGGACATTGATTTAGATAGGGAGCCACAGTTGTGTTGGGATCTGATAAGATAACTAGTTAGCTACAGATGGTAAGAGACATTATCTGGGTCAGTACTTGCCAGCCTATATTCCTGGCAACATCAGTGCCTACAAATGTGGGTTTCTTTCAATGTTGTTTCTCAGTATTTGCACAAAATTGTCATGGAGAGGAGACTTTTATGTTATAAGCTTCCTGGAAACTTCACTTAGGCCTTGTTGAATTTGACCATTTGAAGGTGAAAGTTTTGGATAGTCACTGAAAGTATAAGAAGATCCTCTTGTGGCTATAGCAGTGGTGAGGCAAGGTCTCTCAAAAACATACTCAAGAATTCTTTTACATTACAATGTTGGGCAAAATAACAACTTGAACTGGGATTTATTTAGAGTCTACAGTTTGCATAGTTTATGGAAAGTTTCTAAGAACTAATCCCTGTGTTCTGAAGGTACTTTTCAACAGAGCCTTTGTCATTGGTGTGGTGTTTCTGCAAACAAGTGAAGGCTGAGGGTAGCCTTTGGGTACTTTCTACCAAACTACTTGCAAAATTGAGATGCTGATTTGAGTCTTAGCACAGTTTCTAACAATAGTATCAACCTAGCCTAGAAGCTTGGAAGCCTGGAATAATGGGAGTCAATTGCTACTAGGATGGTTAAGTAGGGATGCACTCAGGTAGTCTTAAGAAATATCTGGTGTGTAGATGGGGCAATCTCATTCCTTCACAAGGCCTCCTTTTCTGCTTCCATGCTTTATACACATTAGTTCTGGTTTGTTCCAACCTGTCCTCATGTCATCTTCTACCCCTAGCTCTCCTGACCTTCCCATCCACTGCTCCCATCAGATATGGGAAGGCTACTACCATATGCTGTGATTTGCTTGTAGGTTCCTTTCTATTGTCTGTTACCCATGTGTTCTGTCTTAGTTTTCTTGATGAATGCATTTTTTGTCTTGTCTATGCTTTCATTAATGAACTGTCATAACTGTTTGCAGGGATGAATTCATTTAACCCAATGTCCCTGGGAAATGTCCAGTTGCCACAAGCTCCAATGGGACCTCGTGCAGCTTCCCCCATGAATCACTCTGTCCAGATGAACAGCATGGCCTCAGTTCCAGGTGTAAGTGCTTTTCCTTTGTTTCTCTTAAACAAGCAGTTGAATTCTAAATTATTGGATGCTATTGATTGCTATTCAGAGGACAATTCAGTATTGACTTAATTAAGAGATTGTTTAAGAAAGTGTAGAAAAGTGCCTAGAAACAGTCCTTGTCAAGTGCGGACCTTTAAGACCAAAATGTACTAGATGTGTAAGACTTTGGATCTCCATTACACTGTATGTCTTGAAGACTCTGGCCTATTGCTTTCTGTACTGTAGCACTCCTGATTCTTGTCTTATAGATGGCCATTTCTCCTTCCCGGATGCCTCAGCCTCCTAACATGATGAGCACCCATGCCAACAACATGATGGCCCAGGCGCCCACTCAGAACCAGTTTCTGCCACAGAACCAGTTCCCATCATCCAGTGGGGCAATGAGTGTGAACAGTGTCAGTATGGGGCAGCCAGCAGCCCAGACAGGCGTTTCACAGGTACATTTAGTGTGGGAACCTAGACAATCAGTATTTATGTTGCCCCAGCCTCTGGAACAATATTCTGTCTTATTTTATAGACGTTATAGTTCTAGAATATATATCTCTTCATTGTTCTCCACTTTGTCCTGTAATTTTTAATCCTTCTGTTCTTTCTAGGAAAACTAAACAGAAAATAAGATGATTGTGTGTGGTTTTTGTTTGTTTTTTTGGTTTTGGTTCATGCTTGATGTTTTGATCTTTGGGTTTTGGTTGCTGTTTGTGTTTTTTAGAGATCTAAGATTAACATGTCACCCTGAGAAATGCTGTAACTTTAAGACGAGTCAATTTTCCTCTTAATGACTCAATTTTTGTGTCTTACTGCCTGTGTTGGGGTGTCAGGCTAGCAAAATCATTGGAATCATAGCACTCTTCTTATTGAACATGTTTCATTCATTTTATTGCTTTCCCCCCCGCTCTGTTTATTTGTAGTGTATCAAATGTCAGCTGTATACAAAGTATTTAAAATAGGCCAAATCTTTCTCAAAATATAAAATTTATGTTTTTTAATCAATGAGCTAATGTTAAATGCGTTGTTGAATATATTAGATTTACTCCATAATGATTAATTTTCTCTATCATATCATCTCATTTCTTTAGAACAGAGATCAGGAAACCAACTCCCCTCCTTGCCACAGTTCTTTATGTAGTAGTACAGACTGCAGTTTTCCTGTCTCAGCCATGTGCCACAAAAACTTTTCTATAAAAAGCCAAATAGTAAATATGTTTGTTTTTCTGGAGTATAGTCTTAACTGTTTAGCTCTGCTTTTACATGTGTTCAAATAGTTACAGACAATATTTAAGTATATGGCTGGTTGTGGTTTTCATCCTGTAAAACTGTCCTGAGTACCTACACCAATCTTCTCTTTGGAACGGTGATGTTGATTCATTTTTTGAAAGGTTAACCATTCTCAAGCTTCTCACCTTGGAAAACCACTAAACTGACATGATACAGTGTCTCAACTCTCCCCAAAAAGAAAAAAAGCAACCCTTTTCAGTGGTCTCTAAGTTACAAGTAGATGTGACAAAACAGGAAGTCAATAAGCTAAGTAAACAGGTGTCTAAGCCAGATATTATAGCAGTTTAGTGTGAGTGAACTTTTACATGGTACAGTGTATAGTATAAATGTTTATACTCTGTGAATTTGTGTAAATGGAGCATCCCTATGAAACTAGCAGAAGTAATTAAAGTATGATTAAAATTTTTTCAAGTCTTTTAAGTTTTCAACTGAGTAAAGTAGTTTTAACATGCTTTGTCTGTTTCTTTTAGGGCCAGGTGCCTGGTGGTGCTCTTCCTAACCCACTGAACATGCTGGCACCCCAGGCCAGCCAGTTGCCCTGCCCACCAGTGACACAATCACCATTGCACCCGACTCCACCTCCTGCTTCCACAGCTGCTGGCATGCCTTCTCTCCAACATCCAACACCACCTGGGATGACACCTCCCCAGCCAGCAGCTCCCACTCAACCATCCACTCCTGTGTCATCTGGGCAGACCCCTACCCCAACTCCTGGCTCAGTGCCCAGTGCTGCCCAAACACAGAGTACCCCTACAGTCCAGGCAGCAGCACAGGCCCAGGTGACTCCTCAGCCTCAAACCCCAGTGCAGCCACCATCTGTGGCTACCCCCCAGTCATCACAGCAGCAGCCAACACCTGTGCACACTCAGCCTCCTGGCACACCGGTGAGCCTTTTAGTCTGTCACTATCAAGCCAAACTCTTAAGGATGCCTTCCCATAAGAATGTTCTGTCAGGCACTTGGGACAGAGAGGTAGCCAAATCTTTGTGAGCATAAGGCTAGTCAGAGCTACAAAGTAAGACCCTGTCTTTTAAAAAAAAAAAAAAAAGAAGGAGGAGTAGGAAGAGGGAGGGACAGAGACAGAGAGACCAGAACTCTTGTCAAGATGCTGTAGCATTTTGCTCTAATGCCAAAATGTGTGGGGGTGTCCCTGATGGAACTGCAAGGAGTTGTGATTTGTTCCTACGATGGCCCTAAAGGCATGGCTTATTACAAACCCTTAGTTGAAGTAGTTTACAGAAATTAATAGTCATTGATGCATCACAGCATGGATAGAACTATTATACTGTATGTGCAACAGTTATTTTCCCTATTTTCTAAATTAATATTGTCCAGGTTTTAATAGCTTTTGTGCCTAGTTTTGTAGGTTTGGTAAAATGTTATGTTCCAAACTACAGGTCCGCCAACCTGGAGAATCAGCCTTCTTTCAGATAGGAAACTTTTCTTATAATGAAACAGCAGAGCGAGAGTTATACCTTCTGTGGCTCTAAACAGTCCATTCCTCTCTGTAGGTGGCATTGGAAGGATGGGAGATGTGTCCTTTATCATCCCAGGCCTACTGGCCATTGCCTACCCAAATGCCTTTCTAGAAATACAGAAACTTTAGTATTGTTTTCCTAAGTCTAACCTATAGATCCCCTCCTCCCAGATTTGCATTAATTCCATTCTTAGATACTCAGGATATTTGTAATATGACAGAATCAAAGTACCAAAGATAACATTATTATTTTGCCTTCTCATACTTACTCTGACTGCATTTTATCTCTAAATAAAGTAATGTTTCCTGTTTTCAAATCAGGGCCCTGCAAACACTAGGCTAGCACTCTGCCACTGACTGCATACTATACTCTCAAAAAAGATTTCAATCTTTTTATCTCCTTTATTTGTTTATGTAATACTTCATTGGATAAAGTCTGTTACATGGCCGTGGAGTGTTTGTTCACTCTACCACCATCACTGTTCTGTGTTAACACAGGCTCGTTGGATATTCTGCTTTACATAGGTCATTATTTCCCAGCCTCTTCATAACTACTTGGGTGTTTATAGTTTGCCTTTCTCAATAAGCCTGAATGCCAATGAAGGGAAGTAATGGTAAAACAATCCAGTAGAAAGCCAAGAGAAAATAATTTTATGTTAGAATTTAGAAAACTTTTTCTAGCTCTGCATCCCCTAAAACTTGTCTGTCTGTCTGTCTATCTATTTTTGGTGTGGGGTAAATTAAGTTTCTGGAAGTGACTTCCTCTAGAGCTCCTTCTGGGAGCTTCTGTCCTTTAGTGTTTCTACTAGGTGCTTCGGTTGTATAGAGAAATACTAAACAGAAGACTGGGATTGGGAGGGCAGGAACAGAAGGTCATTGATGTTACCTGCTTTACAGCGATGAATGATTATGATTTTTTTGCAGCTTTCTCAGGCAGCAGCCAGCATTGATAATAGGGTCCCCACTCCCTCCTCTGTGACCAGTGCTGAAACCAGTTCCCAGCAGCCAGGACCTGATGTGCCCATGCTGGAAATGAAGACAGAAGTCCAGACAGATGATGCTGAGCCTGATCCTGGTGAATCCAAGGGGGAACCTCGGTCTGAGGTAGATGTTCTTCCCCTAGGCGACAGTACATGGCTTGTGTGTGATAGCTTTACCTACGCATCCTAAGGACCTATCATGATATTTTGGATGTTCATTTTAAATGTTTGAATTTTCTATAAATCTTTTTTGTTGATATTCTTCATTGATTTCTAGTTCTACAGAAGGGGTGATATAGTCATTTACTACTAGCTTACGACAGAAATTGAAATCGGGCCAAGAGCTGAATCCAGCCTGTAAATTTGTGTTGTCGTTTGGCCTGCTCTGCCTGTTATTTTAAAAATCAGAAAGTTGCAAATCAAACCTTAGATACCTGATTTCTCTCAAAAGATGAGCAACCTTGTGACCAGTGCACTTAAACTCCTTTAATGACTGCCAGTGTCTCACCTAATGTGGGATGTTGTGTCCCTCAGGTAGGACACTTTCTTCCCAAGTAGTCCCAAGTCTCAAATCACACTCTTTATCTCAGAGCATGTTGTTTTCATCTTTGTTTCAGTTTTCTAAGATACATTTACTTCCAAAGTAGATGCATCAATATTTTATTGAGCCATGTAAACATACTTTTACACTGAAAAAGTTTTTTTCTTTTTTAAAGATTTATTTATTGTGTATACAACATTCCATGTACGCCTGCACACCAGAAGAGGGCACTAGATGGCTGTGAGCCACCATGTGGTTGCTGGGAATTGAACTGAGGACCTCTGGAAGAGCAATCAGTCCTCTCTTAACCTCTGAGCCATCTCTCCAGCTCCGAAAAAGTTTTTAATTAGAACTGTGATTGCAACCGTTACGTGTAACAGGCTTGCTAAGTGTTCGTTTAGCAAGCCTGTGTGTGCAAAGAGACCTAAGAGTAAAGCTGGACCAGGTTGCAGTGATCTGACATTTACTGTCTTCTGTGACTCTGTTTTTCTCAAGATGATGGAAGAGGATTTACAAGGATCTTCCCAAGTAAAAGAAGAAACAGACTCATCAGAGCAGAAGTCTGAACCAATGGAGGCAGAAGAAAAGAAACCCGAAGTAAAAGTGGAAGCTAAAGAGGAAGAAGAGAACAGTGCTAATGGCACAGCCTCACAGTCAACATCCCCTTCCCAACCACGCAAAAAAAGTAGGTCACCTTTTCTGTAACTTAGGGACTATATCGTGCTTCCTCACCAAAGACTGAAAGCTAAGGCAGGAAAATGATTACAAATTCCCCTTTATGTTCCTTGCTTGTCATTTTCTAAGTTTTACTTCTGAGAATGGAGCCAGCAGAGGCTGGAGAGGTTCAGTATGTAAGGAAGAGTTTGCTGGGCAAACGTGAGGACCTGAGTTCAGATCCTGTCACTTGTGAAAAGGGCTGGGTATGGCTGTCCTTGTGTATCTGTAACTCAAGCACTGTAAGAGGCAGAGACAGAAAGCAGGAGCTTGCCAGCCACCAGCCTAATTACAGGTTCAGTGCAAGACTTCTTAAAGGAATAAGGCAGAATACCAGTTGTCCTCCTGGCCACCATGAATGTGTGCAGAGGTGTGCATACAACGCACACACTCAAGGACCATGTGCGTTGTCTTGTGAGATGAGATTCTGTAGACAAGATAGGCAGAGTTGAAAAGCCTCTATAATCTTAGCTTGCTAAGAAATGTAGGTTCTGCAGAGACAGGTATAAAGAACTGATGAACAAAAATGTTCTCATTTGAAGCAAATGATCACTATCAGCATGTTTGTGCTATCAGCACATATGTGTGGGAATTAGAGATTTCTGCTAATGGAGAGGAGTAAGGGGCTATAGCTGCTGTGACTTGGCATAGAGTGGGACTATGAAGCTTCAGATGTGTGAGGTTAGCTCAGGACAAGTAAAAATTGGGTGTGCTCCATTTAAGATTTGTCCATGGTAAGAAGCAATAGGGTGTTGGAAGATTGTCAACTGATCCTTGCTTAACATGGTGACCTGGACCTTGGAAGTTAACAGCATCAGGTGACAGGCACATTTGAGAAAGAGTGCAGAGAATGTTGGCGACTGAGGCAGCAAAGATCCACAGGGAAAAAGCTTCTCTTATAATTGAGGGTTTTTGATTATGTGGACTAAATCTCCCAAGTTAGGAAGTAGAGCACGTCCTGTCAAGTAGGCCTTTTCTGTGAAAGGCTAGATAGTTAGTATTTCAATCTTCATACATCATAAGGTCTCTGTTAAAACTAATCACCTCAAAGGCAGCAGCAGATGATGTACAAATAAATGAATATAGCTGTGTGTCAATAAAAGTTTATTTTGAGACTAAAACTTGAATTTTATTTACTTTTCATATGTCATGAAATATACTCTTCCTGGTCACTAAAAAAGGCAAAGAGCATTTGGAGACCTTGACTCAGAAAGTAGGAATTTTGATCATAATTTATCACTCCCCTATCTATTGGAATGAAAAAGCTTTTGATGAATTTTTTTTTTTTAATGAGACAGGGTTTCTCTATTGTTTTGGAGGCTATTGGTCCAGCCCGGCCTCGAACTCACAGAGATCCACCTGCCTCCCGAGTGCTGGGATTAAAGACGTGCGCCACCACCGCCCGGCAAAATGTTTTCTTATAAAGAATTATTTAAGGGGTTATGGAGATTGCACATGCAGCAGGCGTGGGGACTAGAGTTCAGCATTCCCAGAGCCCACACAAGCTATGCTTGCTTGCTTGCTTGTTCTAGTGCTCAGGAAATAGAAGAGACAAGGGGGTTTCTGGAACAAGCTAGCTAGCTAGACTAGCCATTCCTACAAGCTCTGAGTTAACTTAAGAGACCCTGACTTGATGAATAAGGTAAAGAACAATCAAGAAAGACTTAACAATAATCAGCTTTGGGCCTCCACATGCACACACATAAACACACACAACACCTGAAACATTACAAATGAAACACCATATTTCTCTAGGATCCCAGATATAGTTTGGCATTGTGGCACTTGAGGAGACTGATGGTGGAATAATTACTTCAAAGCCAACCTGGAACCTGGGCTATGTAGTCAATTCTAGCCTATGCATTATGAGTCCCTGTCTCAGAAGATAAAAAAACAAAACGGAAAAACAACCAGATGCACCTTTGTAACTGTTTTATAAACAGAAGAACTAAGCAGAAATAAAGCAAGAATGTTCATTTATTTACAAGGCTTCTAGGAATGTATGCTTGAGTGGGCCTTTGTGTTGCTGATTCCTGGAGATTTTATAATAGGGAGTCTTCTCTGCTCATCTAGACCTTGAGCCAGTACTTCAAGGGCCAGAGCAGCCAGGTGTCCTGCAGAAAATGCAGCATCTGTCACAAGGTCCTCAGGAGACCTGATGGTTCCCTGCTCTGAAGGGGATAAATTATGGGGGAACCCTGGTGCATCAGTCGACATACCTAAAGTGAGGATGTTAAAGTTGAATTTCTGTGTTAACCTTTCACATGAAAAAATAATCAGGTAAAATTCCAGAATTTGACAAGTTAGACCCCCTAACAGAGGTGACAACAGATATAGATGCCATGGTCCAACTCACTGTGCTTGTTTGGCATGGCCTGGCTTGCAGCTGAACTGTCTCTTTGTCTCTCTCTCAGCTGATCTTAAACTCTCTCTCTCTCTCTCTCTCTCTCTCTGTCTCTCTCTGTCTCTCTCTGTCTCTCTCTCTCTGTCTCCCTCTCTCCCTCTCCCTCTCCCTCTCCCTCTCCCTCCCTCCCTCTCTCTCTCTCTCTCTCTCTCTCTCACACACACACACAAACCCTGTACACCCAAGCAAATATTAGAATTAAAAGCATTCAACACCATGGCCTACAAAATATAAAAAATAAATAAATAAAATAAAAACAGTCCTGTCTGAGAACCTAAGCCCCTGCACACCATAAAAACAATCTGAGCCAGCGTTGGTGGTGCATGCCTTTAATCCCAGCACTTGGGAGGCAAAGGCAGGCGGATCTCTATGAGTTCAAGGCCAGCCTGGTCTACAAAGCGAGTTCCAGGACAGCCTCCAAAACAATACAGAGAAATCCTGTCCTATCTTGAAGATATTTGACAGCCATTTTATTTATTATTTACTTTTATTTTTTTATTTTTGGCTGGCTGGCTACTTCCTTTGTGACAGGGTCTCACTCCATAGCCCAAGCTGGCCTGGAAATCAAAGCAGTCAGTCCTCTTGCCTCACTCTCCTGAGCACTGGAATTAAGGGCACAGTGGCCAAAGCAGAATAGGTAGTAGGAATTGTGATGGCTGAGAGGTGAGAGATGTGGGCACTGACAAATGTTGGAGAAATACTGGAACTTTTAGAATCTACTGTTTTTGAGTTAGTTATTTTTTTTTACATTTGTATATTAGGGTGCAGTAGATAAAGGTTTATTTCAAGTGAGTTGAATTTAACTAAGCCAGCAATAGAAAAGCATCATCAGAGAAAAGGCCTCTGCATTGAAATGGCTTTATTTACTTCCCAGTTTGATTAGGGAAGCAAAATTGGATATTAACTTTGTTTTCTGTTCCAGCAATATTTGAAGATTGGAAGTTTTTGTTGAAAAAAACCTCCATGGTCTGAAGCCACTTTACTATGTTCAGAAACCCCAACTTACACCTCACTCTAGTTCAAGGATTCTTATTGTGAATGTCGAAAAGAATTGTGGCTGGGAAGTAGAAGCCACTGGACTTGTAGTTTGGATGTGATGATAGATGTGTCTGGGCACCCATTATGTACTTTCTCTTCCTGATGTTCTCTCCTTCTAGTCTTTAAACCTGAGGAGCTGCGCCAGGCACTTATGCCAACTCTAGAAGCACTCTACAAACAGGACCCAGAGTCTTTACCTTTTCGGCAACCCGTAGATCCCCAGCTCCTAGGAATCCCAGTAAGTTAATATGAAAGATGGGTTAGAACTTATGGTATCTGTTGTTTTATCTCTTAAAATTGGTTAATACCTTGCTTTGAGGATTCCCCCTAATATAAAAATTGTATCTGTCAGCAGTTATTGGTGGAACAGAAGCATTTGTTTGCATTCAAGCCCACTTCCTTTAGCACAGAGCCTCTTTATATTTATAAGTTTATCTAAAAGGATTGGCTTTAAAAATTAAAATGCTAATTATGATATACATAATCAATCCCTATTTGATATCCCTGGGATACTTGGAAAGGCCATGTCTTTTGAGTTTGGTGTGTGTGTTAATCATTAAATTACATTTTGTTATATAAACCAAAGGGAATCTGCAGAAGTATACAGTAAATAAATATTCCAGAGCAAAGGAAGGTGTTAAGACAAGGATTGTACATCTGATCATAGCCTGGGTGTGTTATTTATTTCCTGAATTTATTCAGTAAATTAAAGTCCTCATTTTCATGAAAATTATTTTTCTTTACTTTGCCTTTGCAGTAATTTAATACTTTGTACATATCAGTTGCCAATATTAAATGAGTCAAATCAGAGGAATTTTTGGGATTATTTTCTTTTTACTTCCATTTCTTATTCTTGGGAACACAATGCCTGATCCTTTTATTGTTAAACTTTGGGGGATTCACTCACATAGTTGACTTTTTTTATTTTTAGGATTATTTTGATATTGTGAAGAATCCTATGGACCTTTCTACTATCAAACGGAAGCTGGATACAGGGCAGTACCAAGAACCCTGGCAGTATGTGGATGATGTCTGGCTTATGTTCAACAATGCTTGGCTATATAATCGAAAGACATCCCGGGTGTATAAATTTTGTAGTAAACTTGCAGAAGTCTTTGAGCAAGAAATTGACCCTGTTATGCAGTCTCTCGGATATTGCTGTGGACGAAAGGTATATTTTTCTGGTTAATCTGGCCAAAGTTGTGTTACACTAAGATGCTCAGGAGCTCTAGGGTAATGTGTAGTCTTTGTAACATTTGACTTCCTGACATGATGTCATGGTTAAAGTCAGAGGTACTCACTGGCTGGCCTTTATCATTTTCCCATGATCATTGTGTCTGTCTGAAATACCAGAAGCCAAAGGTATTCCAGTTCTGTGATATAAGTCCAAAAGTGTCTTGAAATAGCTATAAACATTTTTAGAATTTTACCTTGTGTTCTAGTTAGTAACATAACAGCTCGGTGTGACTCCATAGCGTGCTAGAATACTTGATGGTGCTAATGGAATGTATGTTTAGTATTTTCTCCTTGTTTTTGCAGTATGAGTTTTCCCCACAGACTTTATGCTGTTATGGGAAGCAGCTGTGTACAATTCCTCGTGATGCAGCCTACTACAGCTATCAGAATAGGTAAGCATCATGCAGGTGCCTGTATTCCAGAGCAAAGGAAGGTGTTAAGACAAGGGTTGTGCATCTGATCATAGCCTGGGTGTGTTATTTATTTCCTGAATTCCTATTAAAGGTACCACAATTTCTGTGCTTCTTGGTAGATCAGGAAGCTCCTTGGTCTCCTGATTTTAAAACATAACATTTGCTGAACATGGTGGCACAGACCTTTAATCCCAGCACTTGAAGACAGAGGCAGGCAGGTCTATAAGTTTGAGGCCAGCCTGGTCTACAAGATGAGTTCCAGGACAGCCAGAGTTATGTAGAGAGAGAGAGACTCTGTCTCAAAACAAAACGACAATAACAAAAAGAAGCAGCAGCGTATATTTATAGTAAAAAGTCATATTACCCTGAGGTGAGGCTGTAGCTCAATAGTAATTACCTGAAATATAACACAGTAGCCAAGAGGCCAAAGTTGAGACTACCTTGGAAAAGCCTGAATGACTTTTAAGATATTCAGAAAATAGAAAGTTTCACTTTATTCTACAGAAAATGCATGCCTACATTATTTCTGGTAGACTTGAGAGGTTTTGTTTGTTTTGTTTTTTAAAAAAGAGTACAAGGTTACTCTTGCTAATACTGCAACGAGAGGGCTGTTGTTCGCCTGTGAATTCAAGAATGGCTCTCCTGAGGCTGGTGGGAGCACATCAAGGCCCTGCTCTTAGTTTTTATTTGTTTTAAAGGATCTTTTGTTTGTGATACTATTGTCTTTGATAGTGGTAGGCCTACCTGGAAAATAGTTGCTATCCTTTCTTTTTGAGTGTGAAGCTGGTTAGACTAGAATAGGTCTCCTTACACAGAAGAACAGCGAGATAATAATACACACATAATTTCTGCAGTTCGAGGCTTGTTTTGAAAATTAAGTTCCTAAATATTCACCTGTTTTTTTGCTAGGATGAAGTAAAGTTAAATTCTTCTTTTTCCGTTGTGTTATGAGACCTTGAAGCTGTGGCTTACACTGAAGTCAGTGTAGGTGAGCCAGCAGCAAGAGCCTTGGTGTGACCAACACGGAGCTGGTCTCAGTCTTAGGCCTTTGGTGCTTTGGACAGTCATACTTTTTCTTATTTGGGCCATAATAAAGTCAACGGAGCTGTCAACTTGTTCAGGGATATATTCACACACATAGGCCTGACAAATTTGGAATTTTGAAATTTTCTGGGTTTTTTTTTTTTTGGAGTTATACTTGTAATTTTAAAAGAAAATGTAACTGTCTTCATAGTAGCTCTTATGCAAATGCTACTTTTTTTTTTCCATAAAAAGAACTTGATTGCTGACAAGATGGCATTTATTGTCAAACTTGGTAACCAGAGTTTGATTCCTGGACCTGCATGATAAAAGACTACTGACTCCCTCAAGTTGCCATCTGATCTCCACATGCACATATGTGCACACAAAAATTTTAAAAATTTTAAAACATCAAAAAGGAAGACTCCTAAGCTATTTGTGATCAGTCTGCTGTTCTTCAGCCTGGCTTAGGGTCATCTCTAATAGAAGTGCAGCCTGAACAACCTGTTCTGCTGAAAATAACATCATAATTTAATTTCTGTCTAAACACTCCTCTTCTTAAATAGAAGGGATTTGTGAGGGCGGGGGTTGCCAAGGTGTTTTGTTTTGTGATCTGTGATGTTTGTTGCTGTGGATAGAATCCAGGACATTGCTCATGCTTGTCACGCACAGCTTCTCAGTAGAAACATTGTAAGACAAAATTGAAGGGATACCATAACTCCTCATTGTGCGATCCTCTCACAGTGACTATGTATTATGCAGGAATTGTCCCCTCCATTTATTCTTTTAGCCCTTTGACTCCTGTAGCACATCTTCATTGTGTATCAAACTTAACTTTGCCCAACCACAATAGGATCTTTCCTAACAGGCTCTTATCCTGACTTCAATGGAATAATGCACAGGAATGTGCTTTGAATACCATTTGATCTATATAAAGTTGTAAGTTTGTTTATTTGGCTGGTTGATTTTGGTTCGTTTTGGTATGGTTTTTGGTTGGTTGTTTGGTTGGTTTTTATTGTTGTTGTTGTTGTTGATGAGACAGGGTCTCAGTATGGCGCAACTGGCCTCAAACTTGATCTGCTTGCCTCAGCCTCCTGAGTGCTAGGATTACAGGTGGAGACCACAGCACCTGACTTCTAGAGTTGCAAGAGTGTATGGATTAATATTAATTATGCCTTTGAAACTACTGTGCCTGATACTCTTGTAGCTAACAGTTTTGGTCATGAAGGAAAATATGATACTGCCCAATGTCTCTAAGTGTTTAGGCATTTGCATTGTCTCACTGTTCCTGGGTGCTTAGGAACTCTGCTTGCAATGGCTTACACATATCGGGGCCCATCCACTGAGAGTAATTAAAGGTAAATTGAACTGGTAGATCAGGGAAGTTCAGTAATAGAGGACAAACACCAGGCCTATTCTGGAAGTCCTGAAATGCCCAATTTTATTTTTGTGTAGAACACTTTTACTAAGCAAAAATGATTTTTCTTAAATGAAAATGAAAGTATAGGAGTTGTATCCTATGACCGATAAATTCAGAAGCTTTTGTACCCTCTGTGTTCCTAGAAAAGCACATGAATTGATTAATACCCTGTAATTCTAAAAAACCAGTGTCTTCCCTACAAATTCAAATTCAAACCAAATTCAACAATGAACATTTGGTTGCTCGTCTTTTTTTTTTTTTTCAAATTGACTGTGAACACTATTGTGTTTCAATAAGTAGTTTTCACTTGTGCTAAAGTTTTAGGCACTTAAATCAGTAAAACATTCTCCAGGCCATTTAAACAAGTGAAATTCTTAATGCTTATGCTAGTGTGTATTTCCGTTTTCACTTGTTTCTACACTTTTAAAATTTAAAAGTGACTCACTTTGAGGAAACTGTTACAGCTTTTCCAGTAATTATCTGAAGCTCATGTAGAAATTATCTATGGATACCTCAGTTTGCAAATACTGAAAGAGTACTTAAAACAATCTGCATTTGAAATGATCATACATTTAACTACCCTCACAGCTAAATCATATAGTTACATGTACTAACTTAGCAACCCAGATTTACACAATCTTAGGATTACATGAAGTATTTCTCCTTCTCAGTTGCATATTCATCACACTACTTCTTCACACAGGATAAAATGTTATCCAGGCTGTTAATGGTGAAGAGGTGAACTTCTGAACCTTTATTTTTAGGGGAGAATCAAGTGTAGACTTTGTCTACACCATATCTGTTATCCAGGACTGGACATGTTCCATCACTGTCTCCATCTCAGTGAAGGCTGATGAAGTGAGGTCATGGGCCCTGCCCTCTCACCTTTTTAACGAACAGGCTCCATTATTTGCAACTTTCTCTGCCAATGCTTTGGGACAGACACCAGAGTCTTAACACTATCCTTCAAATTTTGTGTCCCTGAGATTCTCAGAAGTGGAAATTGGTCACATACAGAGAGTTTAGGTTTCCTCAGCCACTCCCAGGCTGCCTGTCGGTCATCAGTACTTATTTCTGCATTAGTTCCTGCCACTGGAAACAATTGGTTCATGTTCTTGTGTCCTGCATGTTGTGAGGCTTTACTGACTTAGTGAAAATGCTGAGTTTTTCCAAGTTCTTGTGATTGTGGTAGTTTCATTTAAAATTGGGTAGCACTTCTTGCTGGCCCACAGTAGTAGGTTCTTAGCTGGAGGATATGTCTGCTTGTGCCATGTCCTGCTGTAGATGGAAGATTTCTTTCTTTCTTTCTTTCTTTCTTTCTTTCTTTCTTTCTTTCTTTTTTTTTTTTTTTTTTTTTGGTCTCTATAAGAATAATTTACAAAATAGTGAATGACAAGGACATTACTGCGGTTCATTCAAAACTGTTTCTAGTCAATTTTTAATCTTGTCCTGGCAAGAAACTATTATCTACAGTGAATTTGCCCTGTTCATCAATATAATGTGAAAAATTAGATAACCTGGAAATGTTATGAATGCTTTGAATGAAGTTGGATGCTTTAAATTAGCTGCATGTGTCTAGTGAAGTCTGTGGAAAAAAATGCTCAATGTTTTAATGAAGATAAAACTGGGACTTGTGGGGGCCTTTCCTTATGCCTCATGTCTCATTCTGTAGCAGAGAGAGAGAGAGAGAGAGAGAGAGAGAGAGAGAGAGAGAGAGAGAGAGAGAGAGAGAGAGAGAGAGAGAGAGAGAGAGACTGCACTGGGGGTTCAGCTCGTGCCCCAAGTCTCATCAGTGTCCCTAATACTAATCCTTCTTGGTATCTTGTAGATGTAGTTATGAGCACTAAACCGCATTTATTGTACTGCTGCTGCTAGCTAATGCTCATCTTTTTGCCTGTGTAATTTATCTCCATTCAGCTTGTTTATTTTATAGTATTTTTGTGTGCTCATCTTGTTTTATGCAGAATCCGCCTTTTTGTTAACTTCTCATTCTTGTCCTTTCCAAACATTTAATAGTCTTTATTTTAATTGTTGTCACTTAATAGCATGAGCCCAGGCTCTCTATTATTATCACACAAGAAATTGGGATGATGAATAATTTTTCAAATGCAGATTGTGCTACTTAAAGATTAACTCTCTAAATTTGCTTAACTTGGGTTGATACCAAGTCAGAACAGTCATTCGCCTTGTATCTCATGAATGATTGATCCCAGTATCAAAATTAAAATCACAGCTTAGAAGTGAACCAAAGCTTCAAAAATTGTTTGTGGGTTTGCATATATTGTATTGTTTATACAATATATCACAGCTTTTCTCTGTATATTCTTATTAATAAATGGCTGGAAAGTCTTCAACCCTGACTGCATTTCTGTTAAGTGTTTGTCTAGAATATGGATTTGGTTTCATTTGTATTATATCACAATTATTATTAACAGTGATTAACTTGAGAAAATAACAAACAGCAACAACAAAAAAATGTTTCTGGGTGCTCAGCATTGTCACACATTAGAAGATCTGGCTTAATACTGGAAATAAAACCTCTGATGCTGTCGAGCATAAAATTTCCATTTTGAAAATGAAGCTATTCTAGTTTAACTTGCTTTTTAAAGGCTTTTCTTATACTGTTGTTCAAAGTAAAATTTTGTATTTTAAACCCTGGCTCAATATTTGATTTTTTATAACAAAATTGAGAATTCTAAATTTAGGCTCCATGCAATCCTAGTATTAACTCCTTGAAAGCATTTGCATCTTGGAGCTGGACCAAACCTGTCGTTGTTAGTGATGATGGCCTATGATGCGTGCAATGAGACCGAATGCTAATCAATGCTTTGCCTTGGCTTTCTGCTTTGTGTTGTCTGGTGTTTGCGTCTTACCTCTGTGTCTGTGCTATTTGTTCCCTTCCCTGTTCTCTAATTCTGCCCTTCCCCGCCTACCCCCCTGTTCCTTTCATTGTCCTCACTGACCCATCAATCAACCAACAACGCCCCCCCTTCGTCGTGGTGCTCTGCCCTGCTCTGATTGGTGGCTTCGTTGCTTGGGTGGCTGTATGTTGTGATGGACCAGTTCACCCAAGTATGGCCTTCTTGCTGACAGGTATCATTTCTGTGAGAAGTGTTTCACAGAGATCCAGGGCGAGAATGTGACCCTGGGTGACGACCCTTCCCAACCTCAGACGTAAGTACTATCTTGCCATACTTCCTTGGGTTCATCACTAAAGAAGAATCCAGAATGTGCCATTTTGAGTTGTGTGCAATTTGTGTTTTTTCTTCACGTATTAACTATACCCACCCCTAATGTAAACATGGTTGCATGGGCATAGATATTTATACTTGAAGATAGAAGCGTCACTCAGAGAGCAACACTAGTTCTCTATGTTATTCCATTCCAGACAGGAACTATTCAGTTCTAGACCTTTGTATATTTCACTGACAAATAGCTTTCTTCATGGTGGTGGGTAACTTTTACTTGAAAATTCTAACTTCAGTTAACACCTAAGAAACCAGATAGCCTTATCCACAGAAAATGAGCTTTGCATACAAATCACCACCAACAGCACACACCTTTAATCCCAGATGGATCTCTGTGAGTTCGAGACCAACCTGGTCTACCGAGGAAGTTCCAGGACAGGCTTCAAAACAATACAGAGAAACACTGTCTCGAAAAAAACAAAAACAAAAACAAAACAGGTTTGTAAAAGTGGCTCAGAGGTTAGGAGCACTGGCTGCTCTTCCAGAATACCTGGGTTCAATTCCCAGCAACCACATGGCAGTTCTAGGGCATCGACACCCTCACATAGACATACATGTAGATAAGATAACCAGTGCACATAAAAATAAATAAAATAATATTTTATAAATTTAACATCAGCAACAGAAACTTTTGGAATTAACTTTATCTTTTAAACCTTTATCTTTTAAGTGACTGAGCTACTACAGGTTAGATTCCAATCCTTTATCCACGTCTTCTATTGTAACATAAAAATACCTATCATTCCTTGCTGGTGGTCTGAATCTTGCTCCCTAGCTGGGTTTAGTATGTCTGTTAATTTATTCCTGCATATCCCTGCTTGTCTTCTGATGAAGTTCCTTTGAGTGGCATCATAACCAGACCACAGCAAGAGAAATGAAAATCACAGTAGGTACTCAACTCATTTATATTTGTAAGGTACCTAAAGGCATGCTGGCCTGCACATCTTCCCTAGCCTGCTTCCCTTTTCTGCAGTTTTCCCCAGTCTTCCATGCTTCTTGTCATGTTGGAAATCTGGCCCCAGGAAGACTGTGCACCAAAATGATTTTATTACCCTTGTCATCTTAATTCTTTGATCTCATTGAAGTTAATCATTGAATTGTAGGGCACAGGGATGGGAGAAGGTTAATCAATAAATGCTAAGGTTCAGTTAGATACCAGCAACACATTGGGTTGCTCTTTCACAGCATGGTGACAGTCAATAACAGTTGTATACTGTGCTTTTCATAACACTAAGAGGAAGGATTTTGAAAATTTTTTGTGCCCCCACTCCAACAGGAGGTGATTAGTATGTTTAGCCTAATTTAAGCATTATGCACAAGGGTCAGATATGTGGTATACTATTAATATGTGCAATTTTTTAAAGTTTTTGCATGTCACTTAGAATAAAAACAAAAGATACAGAAAGGGACCAGTGAAATGAATTAATAGGTACAGACACGTTCATTGCAAATCTGGCAACCCACATTCATGTGGAAGGAGAGAAACAACTTAATAGAGCTGTACTCTGGTTTCCACAGGAGCACTGAGACATATGTTGCCACCCATCATGTTCACACATGCTTGCATGGGTGCGTGCACACAAACATACACACAGAATATGCAAATGTTTTTTGTTTTTAAAAAAACAACAACAATAAAAAGTTATGTAATACCATGTGTTAGAAGTAATTCACATATGCATGGATTGAAACCCAAATACTCCACCCTTCCAAAATGGGAATCCTCAGTAGATTTTCACCTTGTGTTGAGGATGTGTTGGCTGTGGTCTTAAACAATATCCAGTTTAGTGGCTATTCGCCATATGAACTTGACTGAATTTAGACATATTTCAATCTCAGCACAATTTCACCATCGTAAGTCTTACAGTAAAAGCAAACTAATATTTATGATAGTTTGGGATAGTATTTTTTGAAAAAAATTGGTAGAGGAGTATATGTGAGTCGATTAAAATTTTTTTTCTTTTAAATAAGGACAATTTCCAAGGATCAGTTTGAAAAGAAGAAAAATGATACCTTAGATCCTGAACCGTGAGTATATATATGAATACATATATATGTGTAACTTTTTCCTTCCTTCCTTCCTTCTCCCCCCCCCTTTCTTTTTTTATTTGTTTTTGAAACAGATTGTCTCTGTGTAGACCTGGCTGTCCTAAGCTCACAGACACCTGCCTGCCTCCCAAATGCTGGTATTAAAGGTGTATGTCACTATATTTGTCTCTTTTTTCTTAGAGACTTAAATGAGTAAAGCTGTTTCTTGTGATTATTATGGGAGAATAAAAATAGAGTTTCTTATGGGAAGTTATCTAAAACTCAAAATAAATGTCTCTGTAAAACATTTTCCAATTACTGGGTTTTAATAGTGATCATATCATGTGTTTAAAGGGCTGGAAAGAAGGCTCATTGGTTAAGAGCACTGCTCTTCCAGAGGTCCCAAGTTCAATTCTCAGCAACCACATGGTGACTCATAACCATCTATAGTGGGTCTGATACCTAGAGAGAGGGAGAGGGAGAGGGAGAGGGAGGGAGGGAGGGGGAGAGAGAGAGAGATCTTTAAAGACTGTTCTGTATGATTCTATAAAGAATATAAGCAGTTGCTTGAAGTGCTGATATTGTCCCAGAGAAATTGTAAAATTAAAACGTCTTAAGAACCACTTTTATAAACTCTGTCTTCTCAAATGCAGTGTTTGTTCTTAACACTGCCCTTGTTCATGAGAATGCTTCATTTTTAAAGTTGGCTTTTAAAGCTTGGGACAGGTTTGTCAGTTTGTTTTGCTCTCTTGGTCCCAAATATCCTAGTTCCAGAGAGGTCAACTGCTATAATGGAAGATACTGACTTCCCACCTGTGTAACATTTGGAGATTCAGCTTTCTTTGGGAAGGTTACTTCCTCTATCCTGTCTGATACCTAGAGACAGGATTACATTAAATAATGAATGCTGGTACATATGGAGACTTGACCCAAGGAAAATTCACTTTTCTTTCTGATTTTTTATGTTATTTTGTCATGTTGCAAGTTGCCCCCCCCCATATTAATGATTCAAGGACATGTGTGCCTTATACCCCAGCGGCCAGAATAGGTCAGATATCCCTAAACTAGAGTTACAAATGACTGTGAATGGCCGTGTTTGTTGGGAGGTGTACTTGGGTCAAGTGTTCTTCACTACTGAGCCTTCTCTCCAGCCCCCCTCTGTGGATTTTAAGTTTCTTTTTGCAGCAGGAGATGAGTACAGGCAGCAGGAGGCAGTGTACATGGTTCCATAGGTGATGCTTTTAGCATGAGCACAACAGCATCACCATTGCGGTGGGCTTCCTGGAGTTGGTGATTCTTATCCAAAAGCAGGCGTTGGAGAGAGGGACATAACATTCTACCATAAAGGAAGGAAAGAGCACACGATACTCAAAACACATGTCATGGGAATGATTGGCCAGTCAGGCCTTGAGGGTAAAGGTCCACTCCCATGCGATGTAGTGGCAGGGGCATTTAATAAATTTGACCTGTTTGACATTTATGCAATTCAATGCATACTGGGTTTGGGGGTTTTAGTTTTTTGTTTTGTTTTTGGAGGGTTTCTGTGTGTAACGGCTCTGACTGTCCTGGAACTCACTTTGTAGACCAGTCTGGCCTCAAACTCACAGAGATCTGCCTGCCTTTGCCTCCCAAGAGCTGGGAATAAAGGAGTACATCACTACCACCCAGCTGGGTAAGTTTTAAAGAGCAGCTTGAGGCTAGTGTAGAAAGTGCACCTCTGCAGCAGTGTGTGTCAGCACTCCTCTACACTCCCAACAGCTGAGAAGCTGGGGCAGGATAGCTAACTCAAGACTGGCCTGGGCTATTTAGTGAGATCCTGTTTCTAAAGAAAAACAGACCGAGACCCTTAAGTGGAGAACATAAGGCATATGATTTCAGTCTCCAGTCTCTCTAGAAACTTCTCAGAGATTTAGGTAGAACCTAGGCAAGAAGTCAGGACTCAACTAAAGCAGAACAGTTGGAGGTAGAAGAGGGAGCCATACTGTGAGTAAGTGGGATATCAAGGAGAGGGCTGTAGCCAGTGGATCACAGACACATAATATATATTTGATACTTCCTTCCCTGACAATGGAGGGAAACACTGAGCAAGTTGTCTTTAGAGAGAGGGTGGGAGTAATACTGTTTTGAGTTTGCATCTCAGCATAGGCCAACCAAGCTCGCTTGAGAGATTGTACGTACAGATACGATGGGATAAACACTGGAAGAATGTAGTGCAGGCCATGAATGAGCAGTTAGGGTGTGGGGAGGGAACCTCCAACACGGCTATTAATTAGTAGCCAAAACTGAGTGATACTCTCCATGTTACATGTGTGTCCTCTCTCTGAAGAGAACAGCAACAGGGAGGCTGATTAGGACATACCATGATTGAATGTTTTTGTAGCAGGATGACAGGACAAGAAGCAGCTAGTCATTATCAAGGGCTTGCCTCTCCCAGGAAACTGGGATGCTTTTTGGTGCCTTAAATTTTCCTGTGATGTGGATTTTGGTAGCAGTACGACAGTGAACTAAAAAGCTGGGTATCTTGGTATTAAGAATTCCTATGCTGCCGGGCGTTGATGGCGCACGCCTTTAATCCCAGCACTCGGGAGGCAGAGGCAGGCGGATGTCTGTGAGTTCGAGACCAGCCTGGACTACCAAGCGAGTTCCAGGACAGCCTCCAAAGCCACAGAGAAACTCTGTCTCGAAAAAACCAAAAAAAAAAAAAAAAAAAAAAAAAAAGAATTCCTATGCCAGTCATCTCTTGGGGCTAATAAAATGCATTTGTAAGTGGCTATAGCTGAACTGACCAGTGTGGAAGTGGTACCAGGAGACTGGGTGTGTATTCAGGGAAGCCTGTCCACCTTCTGTTGACATTGATGCCTTCCACTAACTTGGAGCAGGTGTTTCCTGTGCCTTGGGCCTGCTAGGGCTGTTCTTGTATAGCTACTTTGTTTTTTGTAGCCTTAGGAGGGTAGGGTGGGAAAAATCTGAAAATTAGGAGCGAGTGTTATAAAACGAAAATACTGTTCTGTTTCCTGACCCCATTTAAGTACAGGAAAATGACATAAAGAATAGGCCCTGAGTAACATGAGAATTACTGGACTATGGAATATGTCTTTATCATAGTAATAGTTTTTCTTTTTACTTTTTTGTTGTTGGTGGTGTTTTGGTGTTTTTCTTTTTTTTGAGACAGGGTTTCTCTGTATAAAAACCCTGGCTGTCTTGGCACTCACTTTGTAGACCAGAATGGACTCAGACTCACAGAGATCTGCCTGCCTCTGCCTCCCAACTGCTGGGATTAAAGGTGTACATCACCACCACTCAACTTATCATAGTAATTTTTAAAAATAAAGTTTCATAGGCTAGTAAGATTGCTCAGTGGGTCAGGGCGGTGGTGGGGCACGCCCTTAACCCCAGCACTTGGGAGGCAGAGGCAGGCGGATCTCTGAGTTTGAGACCAGCCTGGTCTACAAGAGTTAGTTCCAGGACAGGCTCCAAGGCCACAGAGAAACCCTGTCTAGGAAAAAAAAAAATTGCTCAGTGGATAAAGGCACTTGCTGAGGAAACAGGGCAACATCACTTCATTCCCAAGAATCCAGATGAAGGTGGAAGGAGAGAAGTGGTTCCACACAGCTGGCTTCTGACTTCTGTACCTGCATATACCTGCATTTGTGCATATCCCCCCCCACACACACATTGTGTTTGCAAAGGGAAATGGGGAGAAAAGAAAGTGGCCCAGTGTACAAAAAAGGAGAGAAATTGGTAGTGCAGGCTTCTAATTTTAGCACCCAGGGGACCAAAGAAAGGGTTATGAATTATGTGTTCAAGGCCAGGTTGGACTATATGGCCAGACCTCATTTACTCAAAGGGGCCAAAAAAAAAAAAGCAGGAATAGAGTCTGTTTCTTAAGTAAAATTAACATAGGTAAACATGTAAAACACTTCTGAATTAGTACATGCATAGATGTCAGAGCTCCTAAAAACAGCTCAGACAACAGTGTGTGCCCATATACTTAAGCTCCCGCCAAAAACTTTTGATGTGTTGCTCTGGGTGTATAATTGTGCTTTCTTATCTCCCAGTTTTGTTGACTGCAAAGAGTGTGGCCGGAAGATGCATCAGATTTGTGTTCTACACTATGACATCATTTGGCCTTCAGGGTGAGTGATTTGCTGTGATCTCTGGGAAGGGGGAGCAGCTGTGCACAAGTCATGGGGTGGTGGCTGTGGTACTGAGTCTTGTTCATTGTCAGCAAAATTCAGCAATTAAGGGAGGTGGCAGTTGGTTCTAAATTTAAATCTTCTGTTTGTGTGCTTTACAAATTGTAGAATCAAAGCCGTCTGTCTCCTCACACTGATGTGAGTTTAAAATGCCAAAAAGTATCCAGTGCTACTTTTTCACTGGCTTGGCAGCATTCACTGTTGAGTATGATCTGATCACAACCATTGTCTGTTGTACAGTTTTGTGTGTGACAACTGCTTGAAGAAAACTGGCAGACCTCGGAAAGAAAACAAATTCAGTGCTAAGAGTAAGTTTGCTAAAGATTTCTGTGTCCTGGATTGTGTACTTCAAACTGTTGTAGTTTCTCTTCTCTTTTCGTTACCTGTCACTGAGGATTTAGAGCTCAGTGGTCAGTGGTTTTGATATTTAAGTTTTTCTTGGAGTAATTCAACTTCATCCTTTTATGATCCGCTCATGTTTTCAATAACAGTTTAGAAAACTTAGAAAGTAAATTTCAGAAGAAAAAGCTTTAGGTGATTAGTGGTAGCACTTAGGAGGCAGAGGTAGGTGGATCTATGTGAGTGCAAGGCCTACCCAAATCTATAGAGAAGTTCCAGGGCTACACAGAGAAACCCTGTCTCAAAGAACCCAGAAAGAAAAATAGAAGAAAAAAAAAAGGAAAAGTAAATTTCAGAACTCAGAACATTTTTTTAGCAGATCTCTCTCTTGTAGCTCAAAGTCAAGAGCCCTGTGCAGAAAAGGTGCTGTCTCCTGGGGGCAGGGCTACTGTCCCACAGTGCAGGGTTTCAGCAAGAATAGTGGTCTTACCAAGCCCTTTGTCCCTACACTTGTGCTTGTCAGAGCAGTCACTTAGCCCTGAAAGCCTCTGGGCACAGAGCTCAGCCCAACCACGTTTATGAGTGTGAAGCCACTGAAGTATAAACAGACCTCAGACCTTACTTCTTTACAGAGCTTTGTTTTTCCGTGGGTACTTTTTATTTTGCTGTTGGATTTTGTTTTCTTTTTAAACCACCTTTTTAGACATATTTTAATATACTTCCAAAGCACCACTCGGTGTATTTCTTACAGAAAAATGAATTTACATGGAATTGTAATTCTCTAGATAACTCTTGAGACATTAGTGAGGAATCTTCTAAGACTTTAAGTAGATTTACTTTTAAAAATATTAACTTAGCCGGGCGTTGGTTCGAGGCTGGGCTGGACCGACAGCCTCCAAAACAATACAGAGAAACCCTGTCTCGTAAAAACAAAAAAAAAAAATTTTAACTTACGTTTAAATTTGTGTGTGTATATGTGTGTTCCTGCTTGTTTGTATGTATATCAAGTGTGTACAGCATCCTGGAGACCAGGAGAGGTATTAGATTTCCTAGAGCTAGAGTTTGTGGTGGCTGTGGCGCCTGGTACTGATGCTGGGACTGCACATAGGTCCTTTGCTAGAGTAGGTGTTCTTAACCACTGGGCCATCTTTCCGGCCCCTGGGTTTATTTTTATGAACAGTTTTCATGAATGTAGAAAATATTTAAAAGTCAATAAAGAAGAAAACTTATCTAAAATTTTATCATCTTAACTGGTTATGGTGACTCATGCCTGTAATCCCAGCTCTTAAGAGGCTAATACAGGACAATCCCCTTGAGACCCATGCCAGCCTGGGCTACATAGTGCAAGACACCCTACCTTCTTACAAAATGAAGCTGGGGAGTCCATCATCTGATATGGGGAAAGGAGGTAGAGTATCTATTTAGTATATGTTGAATCCTGGGTTCAGTGCCTCAGTACCATGCATCCAAAACCCATTCATTTTTATAATCAATGAATCTTTTATAGCTTTCACATGCTAGTCCTCTTTCACTGGAAAGCAATTCTCTATACTGATGTTTATTCCTGGTAGTTTGGTCACATGGACTGTCTCTTATGCTATGGCAAGAGCTAGCACAGGACAGGTCACATCACCAAGACAAGGTTGCCTGAGGCTAATGTCTTGCCTGCTCTGCCTCCTAGGTGAGCACTGTACTCAGAAGGCAGTCCTTGGCTGATGCTTTGCAGTCCAACTGCAACTTAGCTAGATGGAAGGAAATCTAGTCATTGGTTGGGCCAAGGGTGTACCATGTTCCTTGTTGTTATTAGAGTTCCTCAAGTGTAGTTTGGAGGCAATAAGCAGTCTGCCTGTTGGCATCATTGAGATAGCCCTACACCCAGGAGACTTCTGAGCAGGGCTAGTCCCACAGGCTGCCACTCAGCTACCCAAGACTGAGGTGAGGGACAAGAAGCACAATGTCTTTGGTTCTGTCAGATTTAGGCCATCTTTTTGTCTGTCCTGTCCCTTACTGTTAGAAATGGATAAAAACACGTGAACAGACACTCATGTCACAGGATGGATCTCTTCTGTACTTAAGAGAACATTCATTAGTCTTTGAAAATAGCAAAGTGAGGGTGCTGGAGAAATGGCTTGGTGGTTAAGAGCACTGGGTTCTCTTCCCAGGGACCAGGGTTCAATTCCTAGCACCCACATTGCAGCTCACAGCTGTCTAACTCCAAGATCTGACACCCTCATACAGACATACATGCAAGTGTTTTACCAATGCACATAAAATAAAAATAAATTATTTTTTTAAAAAGAAGAAGAAAAGTAGCAAAGTGAAGCAATAGCCTCAACAGCTCTGCCTAATCCTGCTCATTCTGAACTTTTTAGGGCTTCAGACCACACGATTGGGAAACCATTTGGAAGACCGAGTGAACAAGTTTTTGCGGCGCCAGAATCACCCTGAAGCTGGGGAGGTTTTTGTCAGAGTGGTGGCCAGCTCAGACAAGACTGTGGAGGTCAAGCCAGGGATGAAGTCAAGGTTTGTGTTCTTTCCTCCTGCCTTAAACTGTGGAGTAGTCCCACTCCTGTCTCTGTAGGACTTCAAGTGTTATGTCCTTATTGAAGAGGCTTATGGTAACTAGCACAAGACCTTCTTTTCTGAATTCCAATTTATTATCAGAGATGGCTCTCTTGCCTAAGAAACAGGATCAAGAAGAGCTACAGCAGCCGTGAGGTGGTGGCCCATGCCTTTAATCCCAGCACTCGGGAGGCAGAGGCAGGTGGATCTCTGTGAGTTCAAGGCCAGCGTGGTCTTCAAAGAAAGTTCCAGGACAGGCTCCAAACCTATAGAGACACCCTGTCTCAAAAAACTAAAAAAGAAAAAAAAGAGCTACAGTACAGCCCTGCAACTGTTCCGGCTATTGTTGCCTTGAACCTTCTACACAGAACAGGCTTTGGTTTCTGTTTCAGGTTTGTGGATTCTGGAGAAATGTCAGAATCTTTCCCGTATCGAACCAAGGCACTCTTTGCTTTCGAGGAGATTGATGGAGTCGATGTATGCTTTTTTGGGATGCATGTGCAAGAGTATGGCTCTGACTGCCCCCCGCCAAATACAAGGTAGTCTTCATCTTACTCCAGATGTGTCTTTAGTCCCATGTTGGATGGTAACAGACTGAGCTGTGTGCTTTGGTACTGGATGAAAACAGTCAGTTACCTGACTGAACCAGTTAGTTATGCTTTCCTGTAAACTGTCAGGAAACAAAGGGTCTTGGTGGTAGTGTGACATGTTTGTGTATGGCCCTAGTTTTGTTTTGACTCATCAAGGTAGCAACAGCTGGATGCCCCTGGTCAAACCAAGCATCTCCAGATTTAGTCTGGATTTTGAGTGAGAGGGGAAAAGAAGTGGTTTCTCTCAAGGTGCTCCCCTGGGGAAAGTTCCCATTTCTTTTGTTGGACAGTAGAAAATTATTTCTGTTTCCTTAGGTAGTTTTCAGCCGAAATTGTGATGAGGGCCTGTGTGAATGCTGTCAAATCTATTTCTGGGGGCTTTTGGATGTTAGTGTTTGTTTTCAAGCTTGAGGCATACCCTGAATTAAAAAGACAAATGACACCCCACCCACCCCTGCAGGCGTGTGTACATATCTTATCTGGACAGTATTCATTTCTTCCGGCCCCGCTGCCTCCGGACAGCTGTTTACCATGAGATCCTCATTGGATATCTAGAGTATGTGAAGAAATTGGGGTGAGTCTCAATTATTAGAATCAATAAAAACGTTTTGTCTATTTTGTGAAATAGTGACTTAATCTATTTTAGTTTTGTGTGTTTTTATTCTAATATATCGAGTGGGTTCAGAAATCTGCTGAGCCTCCCACATGTCTGACCCCAAAGAGCAATGTCTACCCTTTGCCTTAGCTTACTTTTCATTTTCTTTTCACTTTATTGAGGCAAAAATCTACATAACCTGTTTTGCTTGTTTCAGGTTTTAAAGTCAGTGGTTTTTAACATTATCAACTGGTGTAACCATTCTCATAAGTCAAGTCTCTACACACACTCACTCCTTCACCAGAACCCTATGCCGTCACTACTACTCCCTGTCCTGCCCCTGCCCTCAGACAGCCACTAATCTACTTGTTTACATCTGTCTTTGCTGGTCTTTCATTGGAATTCACTGAACACACACTATGTGTCTATTTTCTCTGGTACTATATGTTTATATACCATACCTGTCATATTGTTTTCCCAAACCTAAAAATGTTTGCTTAAGTGTCTTGAACAGAGTGAATATGTTATTTGACGTGAATCCTCTAAAGAGAATTACTTGCCTCAGCTGCCTTTCCAGTGCACAGGAGGAAGTAGGCAGGAAGCTGGTGCTTCACATCCCTATACTGTGTCCTGGAGGCTCAGCTCCTTGCGTGCACTTCTGAGAATAAAGTCCTCAATGCCAGATATAGGGTTAGATTTGTAAATGATGAAGATAATGCTTACACACACACACACACACACACACGTTGGAGCCCACATATTTTCTAAGACCTACACAAGCAGCATTATAGTCATTTCTTTTGTTTTCAACTTCCCTCATTTTTAAATTTCTGTCCTTTCTTTAGTTCCTATTCTTAAGCTACAATTGCCTCACAAGTAGATCAGAGTTCACTGACACTTCTGTCTGGCTTGTTTCATATGTGTCTTATAGGTATGTGACAGGACACATCTGGGCCTGTCCCCCAAGTGAAGGAGATGACTACATCTTTCATTGCCACCCCCCTGACCAGAAAATCCCCAAACCCAAACGACTGCAGGAGTGGTACAAGAAGATGCTGGACAAGGCATTCGCAGAGAGGATCATTAATGACTATAAGGTACTTCTGTTGAAGATGGTGTTGGCTTTGTTGCAGCTGTTAGCATGGTTTGTGTATTTTCCTTTGGCACTCATGTGCTTTATGACTATCATCAATTGCAAAAAATAGAAACCTGAGCCTAAAGCATCTGATGAAACTGTAGAAGCAACTGTTCAGTTGGTCGGAGCAGTGGGTCTTTCAGTAGTTGATGTTTGGATTGTGTGTGAGATCCCAGTAGTGCACGGGACTTCACCTCAACCTCTTTGCTGCTTCCTCCTAGGACATCTTCAAACAAGCAAATGAAGACAGGCTCACAAGTGCCAAGGAGTTGCCCTATTTTGAGGGAGATTTCTGGCCTAATGTATTGGAAGAAAGCATTAAGGAGCTAGAACAAGAAGAAGAAGAGAGGAAAAAAGAAGAAAGTACTGCAGCTAGTGAAACCCCTGAGGTACTGCCCCCCCTAGAGCTGAGCCACAGAGTGGCCGGCTGGGAAGTATACGTTTGTCGTTGGGTTCTTTCTGTGGTCATTCTCATGCACACGTAGGGCACCAACAACAAAAAGCAGGTGTGGGGTCTATACAAGAGACATTCCCTTGGTGGTTAGACCTGGAGAGTAGAAGGAAGGAAGATGGTGCTCTGTTGGAGCCAAGACAGTACGTGGAGATGGATGGAAGTTACTTCCCAGAGAAACTGAAATTCCAGGCATTGTGCGCTGTGTATTGTGACAACTACTCATTTTGTCATTTGTTTAGGGTTTTTTTGTTTTTGTTTTCTTTTGCTCTCAACCTGTTCACTGTTCATTATCCCTGCGTACCAGGGAGTGCAGAGTAAACTAAAGACCTTGTCCCTTCCCCAGGAGATATTTTATACTAGGAGAAACAGGAAGTACCTGGATAGCTGCTTGGTGTTTTTTCAGGTGATGGGGCAACTCTGAGAAGAAAGGATTTAAAGGTAAAGAAGACAGCAGGAGGTCTGAGGGTGGTGGCTTTGGAAACAGTGACATAGGAGCTGGGATCCCACTTGAGTTACAGGGGATGGAGTCTTCCAGGATGGGGAGGAAATATGTGTGATTACCAGGTAGAGTTGACAAGTGGCATATATTGGTTATAGCTATAGGTTCGCTAGGTGTGTGCAGTGACTTCTGTGGAGACTGTTTGTGGCATGTGGGAATTCATGAAATAAAAGAGTGTCTGTGTGAAGCTGGAACTCACTCTAATGAGGAAGAAGCAAAGAGTGGGCTGTGTTGCTCCAAAGGAAGTTGTCAAGATTGGGCCCTGCGGGCTAGAGGTGCTGTCAGCATGTGGCATGCTTACTCAGGGTACACATGATTCGGTGGGTGGTTACAATGTGCAAAGTACTGTGTCTTCAAAAAGACAGCTTTAATAAGAAAGCACAGACCAGAGTCAAACAGAAGTTTGTGTCCTGCTGGTTCCCAAAAACTCCCAAATTGTCCCTGTGTCTTGATTTTCTCTCACTGGAGCCTCTAAGAATTGATCCATCCTTTGACTTTCTCAGGAACCTGACTGGTACTCACCAAGGTTTGATTTCTTATCCTACTGCCAAACAGTTCCCAAGGAAACTTGAGAAGAGAAGCCATATTCAAAGTGGCTGGCTCAGAATACATTGCAGACCAAGTGACCAGGAGGCCACTGGCTAAGCCAGGCCTCAGAGCAAAGGTGGCCTGACTCAGAGCCATTTGTCTGGGCTTATGAAGGACAGTGGTGGTGGCATCATTTGAGGAAGTGGAATGTGTGCCTAGATGAGTGAGTCACTGGTGCACAGCACAGCACTCCTGCAGGATAAAGAAGTTCTCTTGGTCAGATCTGATTATCTTTTCTATGTTGTATTCTAAATAGGTAATACTCCAAGTTCTCTTCATATAGTAGGAACTTTGGAGCACCTGAATTGGGGAGTGCGTCCCTTTTAGACCTCAGCGAAGTAGTTATGAAAAGTAGTAACAACAGGTTGCAAAGCAAAGTTTGGATATGTTCTACCTAGTGCAAGTGTTGTGTGGGCCCTGGAAAGTCATCTGGGTGTGCATGCTTCCCCCCTGCTGCCTGCCATTTGAAACTTCCCCAAGTCTTTTGAAAACTCATACAGATGAGCAGGCCTTCCCAAGACAAAGAAGCAGGTACTGAGCGTGCAGGATGGAACAACATGGACTCCCTTCTAGGGAATTGTGAGGAGTGGTAAGAAAACATCCTCTTAGAATCTTAGATTCTAAATTAACATCCTGAAGAAGTAACAGGACATACAGGTGCCAGTCTGGTGGCAGCATATAGCCCAGGTGCATATGGGGTCTCTGGAACCTCCACAGCCTAGGAAATAGATGTTGTTTTGACATTTTTGCATGTCATTACAGGGCAGTCAAGGTGACAGCAAGAATGCCAAGAAAAAGAACAATAAGAAGACCAACAAAAACAAAAGCAGCATTAGCCGTGCCAACAAGAAGAAGCCCAGCATGCCCAACGTGTCCAATGACCTGTCCCAGAAGCTGTATGCCACCATGGAGAAACATAAGGAGGTAGTGACTTAGTCTTGTGGGAGGGAGGTTCTGGGGATACTCAGAACCTGGAGGAACAGCAGGCACCTGTGCTGGAGCTCCTTTACAAATCTTTGACACAGGCTGGGCATTGGTGGCGCACGCCTTTAATCCTAGCACTCAGGAGGCAGAGGCAGGTGGACCTCTGTGAGTTTGAGGCCAGCCTGGTCTACAGAGCGAGTTCACGGACAGCCTCCAAAACTCTACAGAGAAACTCTGTCTCGAAAAAAACCCAATAAATAAATAAAAAAAAAATATATATATATCTTTGATACAAAGGGGGCTACCTCTGTAGAAGGTGGAACAGTAGTTTGTTAATATATTGTGTGGCTTGTTGTCAGTTATGCTCCATCTCATAAATCAGGGCTTTAAGCAAAGCAGGCCCTGGTTCTTGTTAGCCTCCTATTACACAGGAATATGTGACCCAACATTTGGCACAAGCTGCTTCTCTGTGGCGTTAATGCAGCTCCTCCTTTCAGGTCTTCTTTGTGATTCATCTGCATGCTGGTCCTGTTATCAGCACTCAGCCCCCCATTGTGGACCCTGACCCCCTGCTCAGCTGTGACCTCATGGATGGGCGTGATGCCTTCCTCACCCTGGCCAGAGACAAGCACTGGGAGTTCTCTTCCTTACGTCGCTCCAAATGGTCCACTCTGTGCATGCTGGTGGAACTGCACACACAGGGCCAGGACCGCTTTGTCTATACCTGCAATGAGTGCAAACACCATGTAGAAACACGCTGGCACTGCACTGTGTGTGAGGTAAGCTCCCCCACCTCCCTCCTGACCTTCCCTCATAGGTAGTATTCCAGCATAGTCCTCTGCAGCATTGAGAATGGAGGCAGGTGTTGACATCTGTGCACAACATTGTTTATACTGTCTGTTCCAGCATGGGGAACCAGGCATGTCCTCTTACCTGTGCTCTTGTCTGCTAACGCTACAGGCCATGTGCTGAGGCAGCCTGCCCGTAGAAAGACACTCTGAGATACTTTGGTTCTACGGGGATCCTGGTGTGTTTGTCTCTTCCTAGCCTTGCTAAGGGATTACACTTTTGCCCTGCTTGCATGATCACAGCACGTGATTAGAAGACTTGATGGTCATGTATGCGACTGGGACTGGCAGTCTCACTGCCTAGCCCTTCCTTCTTTCCTACCTTTAAATTCTTGCTTTCTTTCCCCTAGCTTTCTCCAAGCTTCCATGTCCTCTTTCTACTTCACTGAGTGTAGGATTTTATGTCTGCTTTCTAGATTTGTTTGCATGGATATGGGTGGTATGTTTGTATGGAAAATATTTTTGTGTATGCATAGAGGCCAGAGGAGAGTTGCTCTGTAACTCTTTACTTCATTTCCTTAGAAAAGATCTGTCACTGAACCTGAGCTAGGCTGGTGACCAGCAAGCCCCAGCAGTCCTCTTATCTCCTTCCTGCCTGGTGCTGCGGTTACAAGTGCTGGATTTCTGTGTGAATGCTGAAGAGCCAAACTCGGGTCCTCATAGTTGACCATCCAATCCTCTTACTTACTGAACTGTCTCCCGAGTCTCCATCCCTCCTCAGATTTAATGCTTCCTTTTTAGTTTCTAAGTTCAAGTATCTCTCAGCCACTTGGGCTTTCTGTGTTGGGGAAGGATCATTTGATGCATTTTTCCCAGGGATAGTGTCTCTGGTAGTGCTTGGAGGAAATGGTCATGGTATTCTTAGTTCTTGCTGTTAAGTCTCAAGGTAAGGTCTTGATGCTTTTCCCAAAGCACATGAAATAAAGGAGGAATGGGATCATTAATAACCGCTCAAGCCTTGGTCCTATACTATGCCCCATGCCCAAGGGTGTATGCTCATGCTGGGCTTATGCTGATGTTGGTCTGTCCCCTTTGCTTCTCTACAGGACTATGACCTTTGTATCAATTGCTACAACACAAAGAGCCACACCCATAAAATGGTGAAGTGGGGATTGGGGCTAGACGATGAGGGCAGCAGTCAAGGTGAGCCACAGTCCAAGAGCCCGCAGGAGTCCCGGCGTCTCAGCATCCAGCGCTGCATCCAGTCCCTGGTCCATGCCTGCCAGTGTCGCAATGCCAACTGCTCTCTGCCATCTTGCCAGAAGATGAAACGAGTAGTGCAGCACACCAAGGGTTGTAAGCGCAAGACTAATGGAGGATGCCCAGTGTGCAAGCAGCTCATTGCTCTTTGCTGCTACCACGCCAAACACTGCCAAGAAAATAAATGCCCTGTACCCTTCTGCCTCAACATCAAACACAAGCTCCGCCAGCAGCAGATCCAGCATCGCCTGCAGCAGGCCCAGCTCATGCGCCGTCGAATGGCCACCATGAACACCCGTAATGTGCCTCAGCAGAGTTTGCCTTCTCCTACCTCAGCACCACCTGGGACCCCCACACAGCAGCCCAGCACACCCCAAACACCACAGCCCCCTGCCCAGCCTCAGCCTTCACCTGTAAACATGTCACCAGCTGGCTTCCCTAATGTAGCCCGGACTCAGCCCCCAACGATAGTGTCTGCTGGGAAGCCTACCAACCAGGTGCCAGCTCCCCCACCTCCTGCCCAGCCCCCACCTGCAGCAGTAGAAGCAGCGAGGCAAATTGAACGTGAGGCCCAGCAGCAGCAGCACCTGTACCGAGCAAACATCAACAATGGCATGCCCCCAGGGCGTGCAGGTATGGGAACCCCAGGGAGCCAGATGGCCCCTGTGGGCCTGAATGTGCCCCGTCCCAATCAAGTCAGTGGGCCTGTCATGTCTAGCATGCCACCTGGGCAGTGGCAGCAGGCTCCCATCCCCCAGCAGCAGCCAATGCCAGGCATGCCCAGGCCTGTAATGTCTATGCAGGCCCAGGCAGCAGTGGCCGGGCCACGGATGCCCAATGTGCAGCCTCCAAGGAGCATCTCGCCAAGTGCCCTGCAAGACCTGTTGCGGACCCTGAAGTCGCCCAGCTCCCCTCAGCAACAGCAGCAGGTGCTGAACATCCTCAAATCAAACCCACAGCTAATGGCAGCTTTCATTAAACAGCGTACAGCCAAGTATGTGGCCAATCAGCCTGGCATGCAGCCCCAGCCTGGACTTCAGTCTCAGCCTGGCATGCAGCCCCAGCCCGGCATGCACCAGCAGCCCAGCCTGCAGAACCTGAATGCAATGCAAGCTGGTGTCCCACGGCCTGGAGTACCTCCACAGCAACAGGCGATGGGAGGCCTGAACCCCCAGGGACAAGCTCTGAACATCATGAACCCTGGACATAACCCCAACATGGCAAACATGAATCCACAGTACCGAGAAATGGTTAGGAGACAGCTGCTACAACACCAGCAGCAGCAGCAGCAGCAGCAGCAGCAGCAGCAGAGCAGCGCCAGCATGGCCGGGGGCATGGCGGGACACAGCCAGTTCCAGCAGCCACAAGGACCTGGAGGCTACGCCCCAGCCATGCAGCAGCAACGTATGCAACAGCACCTCCCCATCCAGGGTAGCTCCATGGGCCAGATGGCTGCTCCAATGGGACAACTTGGCCAAATGGGGCAGCCTGGGCTGGGGGCAGATAGTACCCCCAACATTCAGCAGGCCCTACAGCAGCGGATTCTGCAGCAGCAGCAGATGAAGCAGCAGATTGGGTCCCCAGGCCAGCCGAACCCCATGAGCCCCCAGCAGCACATGCTCTCAGGACAGCCACAGGCCTCGCATCTCCCCGGCCAGCAGATCGCCACATCCCTTAGTAACCAGGTGCGGTCTCCAGCCCCTGTCCAGTCTCCGCGGCCCCAATCCCAGCCTCCACATTCCAGCCCATCACCACGGATACAGCCCCAGCCTTCACCACACCATGTTTCACCCCAGACTGGCTCCCCCCACCCCGGACTCGCAGTCACCATGGCCAGCTCCATGGATCAGGGACACCTGGGGAACCCTGAACAGAGTGCAATGCTCCCCCAGCTGAATACCCCCAACAGGAGCGCACTGTCCAGTGAACTGTCCCTGGTTGGTGATACCACGGGAGACACACTAGAAAAATTTGTGGAGGGTTTGTAGCATTATGAGAGCATTTGATGTTTGGTTTTTTGTTTTGGGGATTTTATTTTATTATTTTTGGGGGTTTTTTGTTTTGTTTTTGGTGGGTTTTTTTTGTTTTGTTTTGTTTTTTGGTTTTGTTTTGGTTTTTTTCTTTTGTTTTTTGTTTTGGTTTTATTTTTCCTCCCTCCCCTTTCATGTTCTTGGACTTTTTGTACTGAAAATCCAGGCATCTGGGCTCTTTTTATTACGCCTAGATGGACTGTGACTCCCAAGCATGGAAGGGTAGATTATTGATGTCTAAAAAAACAATACAAAGAATATATTTTTTGTTAAAAACCAGTTGATTTAAATATCCGGTCGGTCTCTCTTTCTCTCTCAGCTTTTTTCTCTTTTTTTCTGTTTTGTTTTGGGGGCCGGGGGGTTGTTTGGATTCTTTTTGTCGTCATTGCTGGTGACTCATGCCTTTTTTTAATGGGAAAAACAAGTTCATTATATTCATATTTTTTATTTGTATTTTCAAGACTTAAACATTTATGTTTAAAAGTGAAAAGAAAAATAATACTCAGAAACTGGTTCCAGAAATAATGCATCTTATAATGTGTCCCGATAACGAGCTGATGTTGCGGGAAGATTTTTTTCTATAGTGAACTCTGTGGGCATCTCCAAGTATTACCCCTGGACAATAGGAATTGATTCCGGCGTGCACACATGTACACACCCACACACATTTATCTATACATGCTGGCTTAAGCCAACCTCTTGTCTTGCAGATGTAGAAATTGTTGCTTTGTTTCTCTGATAAAACTGGTTTTAGACAAAAATAGGGATGATCACTCTCTTAGACCATGCTAATGTTAATAGAGAAGAAGCACTCTTTTCTTTCTTCTATGTGAAACTTGAAATGAGGAAAAGCAATTCTAGTGTAAATCATGCAAGCGCTATAATTACTATAAATAAGAAAATTCAAGAAGATTCAATCACTGTATAGAATGGTAACATACCAACTCATTTCTTATATCATATTGTTAAATAAACTGTGTGCAACAGACAAAAAGGGTGGTCCTTCTTGAATTCATGTACATGGTATTAACACTTAGTGTTCGGGGGTTTTTTTTGTTATGAAAATGCTGTTTTCAACATTGTATTTGGACTATGCATGTGTTTTTTTCCCCATTGTATATAAAGTATCGCTTAAAATTGATATAAATTACTGAAGTTTTTAACATGTATTCTGTTCTTTAAGATCCCTGTAAGAATGTTTAAGGTTTTTATTTATTTATATATATTTTTGGAGTCTGTTCTTTGTAAGACATGGTTCTGATTGTTCGCTCAGAGTGGAGAGGTCGGGGCTGCAGTCATAGTTGCATTGTGGGTGGCAACTGGGAAGTGTCCCAGGTTTGTGGCCACCGAAGTGGGGGGGGGTCCCTGTACAGAGAGTGAGGAGGCTGCTCAGCATTGCCTTGCATATTCAATACTCACAGGTGAATGTCACCCAGGCCAAGAGGGACAATCACCACTGGGTCAGAAACAGCACTTTGCCTCCAGCCCACTCTTTGTCCTCCTCGTTGGCCAGCTGCCCCTGTGGGGAGGGCTCCTGCCCCCCTTTTGTTTTTCAGACAGTCCCCCCTTTCTCTACCCAGATCCCACAATCAATGCAAAGGGTGCTCCAGGGACTTGAGGTGGTTCCTGACCTCCCCTCCCCAAAAGTTCAACTGGGAGGTTACCCCCATCAGCCTGCCCCATGTGGCCTCATTAGGGTTTTGCAGGCCTGGTGCCACCCTGGGGGCTGCTACTTCATGGTCTTACCCACTCATGAAGTCCAGTTACAGGTGCCCTTTCTGAGCAGGGAATGGTAGCTCCTGAATACTGTAATTGTCACATCCAAGAGGAGGACCACTGACAGGGGAACTAAACCCCTAGCCTACTGCTCCCAGGGAACTTTTTTTTTTTTTTAAATACTGTCTTCCAACAAAAAGGTGGTCCAGATGGGGGTGGGGGGCAGCTAAATTTAAAAATCATGACCCAAATAGCCTTGCTTTTGGCCTTTTAAGTTCACAGAAGTATTTTCAAAATTCTTGATACTTGGAAATCTAAATTTGAGGAAGCCTTTCAAATGAATGTAGAATTTTGAATCTTGGATTTTAATACTGTGGATAAGACCAGGTAAGGAATAGACCATCATCTAACATCCCCCCAACTAAGCCCTGTCCCAAGTCCTCCAGAAGTGATGCTCCGTCCTTGATGGGTCCTTGCATATTCTCGGCTCTCTTCAGAATGCGCTTTGCTGCTGATTGGGAAGCCCCAAGCCATGTGTTCAAACAAGAGGAACTGGAGCTTCAGAAGAGCTGCTCAGCCCCACTCAGAAGGTGGCACTTGGCAATGTGCAGCATTTTCATGTGGGCAATGGGGACATCCTTTTCGGTTGTCCTGAAGTTCAAGGCTATGTACCAACCTCCTTGGAGTCTGCATCCTGTGCAGTTGTCCATCTGGATGTCAAAGGATGTGGCTGAGGGTGTGGGCTGTGAATAATATCCCCAAGTTTGTCCTAAGGAAATTTCTGTAAGAGCTGGAGTGCCCAGATACTGTGTCTCATGCTGTATACTTAAGAGGAGAAGAAAAAAGTCCTATATTTGTGATCAAAAAGAGGGAACTTGAAATGTGCTGGTGTTTATAATAAAAGCTGGTAAAACTGCTTGGATTCAAAGGTGGTTCCGATTGGCTAATGATCAGCTGCTGATCACTGAAGATATCTGGTGTCAAATCTGCATGCATATGAGGCTCTTAGAAACTCTAGCATTTAAGAACTGGATGTCCACAGATAGCATACTGTTCTGCACTATTGGGGTGAAGACATGGAACTTCCTTTTGATTTCCATCAAATGGGTCCATCTGGGCATGGTAGCCTATGCTCTAATCCCAGAAGAGCTAGAACTTGAAGAATCTGGAAGACCTCAAACCCAGAGATGCACATAGGGAATTAAAGAACAGCCAGTGCTATGTAGTGAGACCTGTCTCAAAGGGGAGGGGCAAAGGTTGCATTTGAATCAACATTAGGTTTTAGTGCTGTATGACAAAAGTTGGTGTTTAAAAACAAAAGGGCAACACTTCTCTTTTGGATTTTTCGAGACAGGGTTTCTCTGTGGCCTTGGAGGCTGTCCTTAGGATGGTTGCAAACTCACAGAGATCCGTCTACCTCTGCCTCCAGGAGTGCTGGGATTAAAGGTGTGCTCCACCACTGCCTTGCAACACTTCTCATTAAGATGGTTGTGTGTTGGTAGCCACCATGATGCCAGGAAATACAGGATTGTATATTGGGAAGTAGTTCTGTGTCCAGGCACTGTAGCAAGTATGGGGAATATAGGAATAAGTCTGCCCATCTGGGACTGATGATACACAAAAGCCTGATGGGTATTGGGTGTTTTCCATGCATTGTTCATGTTTAATTCTGTTCCAAATAGTAGGTGCAGGGTGGGAAACAGTCAATGATAACATAGTGAAGAAATGGTGCAGAACCCACACTAAAAGTCCCAAGGAGTTTTGGTGAATGGGTCTGCAGCTGATCTAAACTGCCTAAAACAGTGTTTTTATCATGCTCGCATCGTTTTATAGAGGATTTGTTAGAAAGCTCTGATAATTCACTTTTTGACTAAAAATTCAGAGGGAGTCCGGTGAGCCTAGTATCCACAGAATTGAGCCCCTTGGTGGACAACATTGTCCATTCTACAAAATTCCTACTAGAGGCTTGAAACTGAGATGGCCATTAATCATCTTGTATTCCCTGGCTCTTGTCACAAGGAAATCTGCAGGCTGATATTTTCAATACATGAAATTCAGATAAGAGGACTCTGAAGGGGGGGGGAGATAATATGAAGAGTTCCAAGCTTGAGTGAGAATCTGAACACAAGGTCCCAAAGTCTGCTGTATGCAAAGGGGGATTGAAGAATTATTCTGACATCTCGGGTATTTTCTCTACTGTTGCCAGGACTCTCTTGGATATTGCCCAGGACACCTTATGTTGTTATAGATATGGGCCACTTAGACAAAAAAATTCCATGTTCCTTCCTGGAATGAGCATTTTAAAAAGTTACTAAAAGTCCCAAAGCTGGGAAGTGGAACCAGGCAGAACAAGGGGCAAATGTCAAGAGGTATCTGAAGTGGACCACTGTTAGGTAACCACTGTAGCTTGGGCTAGGTTGTACAGAAGGCCCTTGAAGTTTGTGGGAAGTAATTACCTGTTGTTCTTGGCCCTTGGCAGATACACAGGTCCAAACTTTGGTTTCCTGGGAACGGACAGGAGGGCCTAGGGTTACTTTACCTGGAATGCAGGTGTTCTACAATGGACAGAACCTATCTACATCCCTAACTAGATCCCATTTCTTTGCCAAATGTCACTTCACCTTTCTAAACATTCAGCCAGATCTGCTGTTCCTTAGATCATTCTGTCAACTCTGACAGAAGAAAGGATTTCAAAATGGAGAGTTAAAGGTATGAAACATGAGGCCTCTCAATTCCTCTAGGAGTCACATCAAGAGAAGCTATTCCGTGTGGTGGCATGACTGTTACCCAGGCTGGGTAGAGGGGGTGATACCTGTGGGGCAGAGGCGAAGGCTAGAAGCCGAAGGATCTAGGAAATGGCGTGATAGGACTCGAGTGAGGAAGTGGATTGGTTGTGAAGGATATAGGCCCCCCAGGAACAGAGCTGGCTGGGGAGAGCAGATAGTTATTAGGTGCCCAGGTGCTCAATGAAATTTGTCTTACTCAGCTACTCTCCTCCTCATATTTTGAAGCGGTCTTTTCACTGGAACTGGGGCTAACAGATTTAGGTACATTAGTTGGTGAGCAAGACCCGAGGATTCTCTTCCCTAACACTGAGATCATAGGCACACTGCCCTGTCAGTTTCCTGTGGACATCAGGACATCAAGTGCTTACAGATCTGGCCTCCTAAATCTGCCTGTTCTTTTTCTATTTTCCATCTATAAAAGTCAAGAATGTGAGAACTATCCTTGACACAGTCAACCTGGAAGCATTATTAAACATGCCCTCTGCCAACATTTCAAGTCGATACAGAATCCAAGAGGTAACTGCTTCTGGTTCCTCCTGGGGTTTTTCTGCAGCACCATTTACAAATCTTAAGTAACTGGTTTTGTGTGGTGAGTATGTTCCTGCGGTTGAGACTAGTATCTGGTAGCAAGCTAAGCAACGTTAACGTTTTTGTAAAATTTGATCATAGCAAAATGCATTTAGCAAGTGAGAACCTGTCACAAAAGAGTCAGTCATCTGGGCCTTACTCTTGAGATTAGGCCCAACACAAGCAATCTGTTTCACAAAGTGGCTAGAGAGTTTGAATTAGGCAGATCAAGCTTATGGCGTGGATCCCCAAACAAACGTCCAGTAAGGAGAAGGTCACAATAAATGGATAAGTCCAGTTTCTGGATGTGTTAGTTACTGAGTTCACGTTTTTGGTGACTAACAGTCAAACCTAAAATCTCTTGGTTACTTTGGCATTGCTGTAGGAGATTCTGCCAGTGGCCCAAACGCATAGAAACGCAAGGGGGGCGGGGGTAGGTCCGCTCGTCCACACTGCAGCCTGGGTAATGACATCTCGAGCATGAGGTGCTCCCGCCTAGGCGCAGCCGCAGCCGCAGCTCCGGAGACACAACCCCGACAGACTACACGACCTTGTCACTGACATCCGAGGTCAAAAAGTCCGGTCCTCAGGCCCCTGCGTTGGGGTTTCTTCCGTTTGTGTTCCCGCGCAGGCAAAGCCTTGGGCAACTCAGGCCCGTCGCTTGCCGTGACGTCACTGCGCCGCCCTCGCAGAAAGGCCCCCTTGTCACTCTTGGCTGTTTGTGGTGGCTCTTGGGGCAGAGGCATGGCGCGCGAGCTGCGGGCTATGCTGCTGTGGGGTCGCGGGCTGCAGGCTACAGTGCGTGCTCCCGCGCTGGCGGGCGTCCGACGAGGTGAGCGCGGCGCAGGGGCGCAGAGGCGGCGTCCGAGGCCGTGCACTCTTGACTGGTGGGAGGCGGCACAGCACCAGGGCTGCCACGTTGGGCCGGGGTCGGGGTAGTGCGGTCGCGTCTAGGGAGAGGAATCTCGGGCACCCAGCGTGGTCTGGTCAGTCTCTGGCTTTCCTGATTGCGGTCCCCCGCGCTTGGGTCCACTCTGCACACGCTCAATTCCGACAGAGCTCAAGCCCTGGGGTAGAAACGGTGAACAAAACCAGTCGTCACCCCGGAAGCCAGTGAACTCCGAGTGGTGGGTCCCTGCATCCCTAGGGCATGGAATTAAAAGATAACAACAAGGAATGGAGAGAGAAAAGGACTTTAATCTGCCCTTCCTGACCCCGGACTCAAGTAACGGTGAAGGCGTAACGTTACACACACATAAGCTATATGTATTTACATCTATTGTTACATAAAAGGGCCCGAGTCGGGTTTCCAGCATTCCTTACACAACTTTTCATGTTAGTACATACCAGTACAGTGGCTTTCGGAGTTCTGTAGTGCCCATCCTCCACTAAATGCTCTGATGAACACAAAACTTGTTACAATGTGTTAAAAATTGAGTGAGTAGCCGGGCGGTGGTGGCGCACGCCTTTAATCCCAGCACTCGGGAGGCAGAGGCAGGCGGATCTCTGTGAGTTCGAGGCCGGGCTGGACCGATAGCCTCCAAAACAATACAGAAAAACCCTGTCTCGTAAAAACCAAAAAAAAAAATTGAGTGAGTGCTAAAAATCTTTAGGAACATATATTCAGTTTTAGAATTGATGTTTCTGAGTGCCTGTATTTTTGTTTGTTAAGTGATTTTGCAAAACTGCATCTCGATTTATTTATTCATTTTTTTTTTGTTTTGTTTTGTTTTTTCGAGACAGGGTTTTGGTGTGTGTAGCTTTGGAGGCTGTCCTGGAACTAGCTCTGGAGACCAGGCTGGCCACAAACTCACAGAGATCCATTTGCCTCTGCCTCCCAGAGTGGTGGAATTATAGGCATGCGCACTATAGTGCCTAGTGCTCAAAATACTTTTTGTCTATGTATATGTCCTCTAATAGCAAAACTGCCTATTTCATAGTATCTTCTCCAATGTTTGAATATGTCTCAAAAACATACAAACAAACAAAAAACAGTGCTCAAAGATTCATCGTGTAACTCACTGACATAGAGTTTGTGCTTGTCTTGCACAGGCTCTGAATTGGTCCCCAGCACCACCAAGAATACTAAAAAGAACCTACTGTAGAAGACACCTTCTGTGATTTGTATCTACATGGATACTAGTAAAAGACTGTTTTTACTTGTTTAACAGTTGATTAGTATCTTCTCTATGATTTTTTTTTCTCCCAAAACAGGGTTTCTCTATGGCTTTAGAAGCTGCTCTGGAACTAGCTCTTGTAGACCATTGCTTGGGCCACCAATGCCTGGAGATTTCCTCTTTGTATCTTGCAACCTGTTCTGCAAACACCTTCTCAGCCTTGGCTAGTCAGTCCAGTCTGTTAACAAAGGCTGACTCTAGAGTCTCTCGGAAACTTGTGTGTGTAATGTGGTGCTCCTTTTCACTGTCTTGGAGTCTCTTTCACTTTCTGGCTTCCGGTGGTGGCACTAATTCTCCCTGGGTCTCAGGTGAAGAAAATATATACATAGTGTACATTTTCTATTGACAGTTTAGTGACTTCATTAAAGTTTTGATTTCAGCCTACTTCCATGTTGTGT